TGTTTAGCATTTTTGGTATTAAAAATTAAATAATTATCTTACATGTTAAACTTAAACATATAATATTTGGTTTTGGCATATCAATATAATGAACATGGAACATCACAATTTTATACATATATATTCAATATACAAACATTTTTTGCATTTTACTTAGGCTTCTTATTCTTATTTAATATTGAAGATTAGTACCTAATAACAATTAATCACTGATGGAATTGCTATTCCTTCCAAGTGTCACAGTTGAATTGTGCCTTGTTTTGCGTGAGCCTTCACTGTCCTGTTCTATGCTTGGTGTTGCAGAATTTGATAAAGCAACCGTTTTATTAAAATCTATTGTAGCATATCCAATAGGAAGTTTTCGAGGACTCTCCGGTGGTAGAAGACTCTGCATAGAAGAACATTGTGCACTTTGAGTATCTGATTTTGTATTCTCCAAGTCCAACTCAATATAATTGACTTCTCTTGTGCCATTTGTGGGAGTGGGAGGCACAGATATTGAATTTTCTCTTAAAGGACTTCTTTGGGTATCAAGCTTCAAATCAGTAATTTCAAGATTTTCATAGCAGTGTCTTTCTTCAGATTGAATAGGTGTAGAAGACACAGATAGAGGTAGGCTCATTCTTTGTACATGTTGAAGTGTGTTTGAGTTAAAACCATATAAACAATCATTGGAAACAGGTGATTTTATTTGTTGAAGCTCATTAGGTATTATATTCATATATGAATGGTTTGCTTCAGGATCATTTTCTTGCATATTATTTAATGTTGATGGGTCTATATTCATATAAGATGCTTGAACAGAACTCCTAGCATCCTTCTGAGGGCTCTCTAGTGTATTAATAACATTTTTAATTGCATTAATGTTACTTGTATCATTTAGGCTGCATAAATTTGTGTTTCCATGGTGTTCATTCTTAGTATCAAGAGTATTAGAATAGGAATGAAGAAAAGCAAACTTTTTATTATTATTGCTTTCACGATGAGAAAAATCTTGTACTTGGTATATATTACTTACGCCATGACTAGTTGAGGAAGGAAGAGGATTTAAAGTTGTTACTTCTTGTCTATTACTGATAATGTTATTCACTATATGGTTCTCTGGATCAAGATCTGCTAGCTCTTCATCTTGGCTTAATGGCCCTGCTAAGGAGATTCATCTAATCTTTGGTTAATTGTTGTACTAAGGGTGAAGGATCAAGATAATTACCATCCTGAACATTAAATTGGGATTGATTGAATGCTAGTTCTAGCATTAGGAGGAGATCTACTTGAACTTATTCTTACATTATTCTGAGTACTAAAATTTCTGGCGGCAACTGCAGGTCCATTGCTTACAGCTGGAACAGGTAGTCTGTTGAATTGTGAAGCTCTTCAACGTTTGTTGCGTTTCTTAAAATAAATGTTTGTAAAGTTTGGTAAAGAGCTTCAGCTCGTCTACATCTAAAGGCGTATATTCCTTGGCCAGTCTCACATCTACGACCAGATTCAAAACTGAACAAGTCTGCATCATAACCATAACGTCTAAGGGATTTCAAAGGCCAAATTGTAGGTTCTTTGTTTCTTCTGGTAAAACCCAACGCAGATTCTGTTACTTCTAACTGTCCGCTACCAGTAGGTACACCCACTTTCATCAATATTTACAACACGAAATATATTAGGATGTAACTCATTAATATCATTTTGACTTTGTACACAACCCATGACATTAACTATTTAACAAATATTTCAAATGGTTTTCTTCACCCATTCCAAAGTCATAAATTTATTTAAAAATATAATTACGTATTAAAATATTAATTCTGACGTTCCATTGACATAATAATAGGTAATTGCCAATGACGTTTTATAACAAAAAGAACAGATCTTTAGTTTAGATAGGGCTGCCAACTACTAAGCATTCAAAAGCTAAAAATCTAAGAAAAGTTGATTATTCAGCAATCAGTAGCTTTGTAAATGATCAAAAATGAATATTGTTTGAAATAAGGATATTATTTAAGTTTTAATAAGCATTTTTCCCGCAGTATGATTATAAATATAATGGTAAACATAATAGTTTTTCTATCAAGTTGTCATCATTTGTAGATCTCAGAATCCTCTTGTCATTTTGAGTTAAAATCTAATCTGACAACAAAATATAATTTATATATCAAAAATGTCTGAAGATTTAAAAACATTAATGGACATGGGTTTCTCCAAGCTCAAAGCGTAAGTTAAATATATAAAAAATTATATTGTGAGAGGCACTGGCTTGTTTATTTATACCGGTTCCAAATTTATGTTTATAATTCAAACTTTATATTTTGTATAAAGGTCGCCTGGATATAAATTGCTTGCAAATAAGAGTATAGTAATTTCATAAATTGTCTCAAAAACTTGTTATTTATATTTATAAATTGTTGTCTGCTTTTTTTAATTTTATATATTACAAATATATTTAAAGGTGCACGTTGATAGTTATAATATTATGATGATCATATACGAGATTATATTGTTTATAAATTTCATCAGTATACTCTTTTATACAATTCTTAGAGAAAAGGCTCTTGCTGTAACCAATTACAAAGGCATTGAACCTGCAATGGATTGGTTATTGGCTCATGCTGATGATCCTGAGCCAGAAGAAAGTACAGAAGAACACAAACCTCCAGAAGATACAATTGAATCGGCAACCTCAAACAGTGCTGAAGAAGCACAATCACTTAAATGTGAAGAATGTGGTAAACTATTCAAAACTCACTCTGAAGTTGAATACCACGCAGCAAAATCTGGCCACAGTCAGTTTGCTGAATCAACAGAAATTAAAAAACCACTTACGGAAGAAGAAAAAAAGGAGCAACTCATGAAACTAGAAGAGCGTTTAAAACAAAAACGTAAAGAGCGAGAAGAAAAAGAGAAGGTAAATGTAAAAGTTAAACCAAATAGCTAAAATATATATATTTATGTATTCTCATAACATATATTGGAAATCTATAAAGGTGGAACAGCTTGAGCGGGAAAGATTAAGAATTAAATCAGGAAAGGATATGCTCGAAGCCAAGAAAAAACTTGAAGATATGGAAATTATGAAATTAGTTGCTGAAAGAAAACGAGAAAAAGAAGAAGATAAAAAAGCTAGAGAAAGAGTTAAAGCTCAAATAGAAGCTGATAAGGCTGCTAGAAGAGCAAAAGCAGCTGGGTAATTTTTTACATGAATTTATATATACTGATTACTTAGCAAATAATTGGCCCATAATAAACTCGGTCCATTATTTACTTTACCATATTTTTAAAAATATATTTTGTAGTGTTGCAGAACCCGCACCTCCAATTCAACCAGTTCAAACAATTCAGCCAACAGTATCAAGAGATTATTCTTCTGCTAAGCTTCAAATACGAATGCCTGACGGTTCTGCATTTACACAATCATTCGGTGCAAAGGAACAACTTTCTGCTGTTCGTTTGTTTGTTCAAATGAAAAATTACTTTGGAGCAGATCAACCATTTACCTTAATGACTAACTTTCCTAAAAAAATATTCACAGAAGATGATTATGAAAAACCTTTAGACTCATTAGGTATATATTGCAGAATACAGTAATAATTATAATTGAAAATAATGTGTTATAATGCTATATATTAATTTGCAGGACTAGTACCAACAGCTGTTGTCATTGTAACAAAAGGTGGTGCGTAGGATTTGTGATGAATATATTTTTAAAAGATAAATGGTGTATGAAAAATATTTGAATGAAAGAATAGATGTATGATTTTATATATGATCATATGTAAATTATATTCATAATATAGAAATATAATTTTAGATTTTGTATTTATGGAAAAAAAATATTGGCCGTTTTTTAATAAAAAGCTCAATGTATTTTTCTACTGTCCAATAAAAAAAAAACATAAAAAATTCAGAATTTTGAGATTTTTGATGAACATGGACTTAATCTCCATTACTCGTGTGATGTTCTGAGAAAATATGATCTTAATTGAAATGTTTTCTTATGGGATACATATTTATTTCGGTTTCTTGCGAAAATTTTGGCCAACTTTTTTCATTATTATTTTTAAATTCTCTAAATCTATATTTTATCAAAGCAAATTTTTTACAAAATTGTATTGCAGTTTGCGATGGTATTAATATCGGTTGTTCATGAAAACAAACTGTGTGTATTCCTATATGCAAATGTGTATACTTATTAAATATAAATTTTTATTTATATCACTTGCAATATCTTGCTTGTTATTTAAACTGCAATTACATGTTAATGAATTTTTTTTCAAAATATTAATTTTATTTATGCAGATGGCTTATAATAGGGCTACGCTTTAACTATTGTCCGAGTTAAGTTAAATAACTTAAATACTATAAGTATATATAATGAGTTTAATATTGTTATTTTTTTAAATTAGCTTTGTACAAACCACTTTACAATTTTGTTCACTCATATCTTTACTTTAGTATGTATGCACTAACTCATTTGGAGAGTTTAGTGAAAATATAATAAAAATAATTCTTGTTGAAATATAATATATTTGGCTTAACTAGAATTATTTTTTATATTTTATTTTTATAAAAATAAGAACCTTTTACAAAATCCGGGATTAAAACAACCTGAATAAGGGAATTAGCTTTTAGAAAAATTCGTGACCCTCTCGGACAATCCACGCGCGATTAACTTACAATTAGTTTTCAATAATAATTTCGAATGGTAAAATAAATAACAGGGTAATGCTTAACATTAAGCATTAATATATCTTACCGTTAAGTAAGATATCTTACCGATTCTGATTCCAGTTTCAATTACATCATTATTATCTTCTTAGTTTTACCTATAGCGCATTTCATCGAACGTGACGACGCTATTTTGTATGGTAGTGTTTGGCTTGAGTTATATCATTATTTTCGGTATGTGAGTGTTCGTGTTTCTCATGTCGATAAAATAGCATGCCTCTGGCCCATCAAATCTTAAAATTAAAACGCTTTGCCAGTACACTTTGCGGCGTTGAACAAACGCCAAACAAAACTGTTGCGCAGTGAAATAATAATACACTCTTGTTTCCACTAAATGCATTAAATAAAACAATTTAAATTAACATGTGCGCAACGTAAAATTACAAATCTTCATAACATAAAGATATATTATATAATACAAGTTGAGTTTGAAATTAAATCTAATTAAATACCATAAAAAACTTATTAATTTTGATGAAAATTTCATCATATGTATTAAATTATGTAATTAAAACAAATAGTTGAATTATAATCAATTATAAGTTCTCGCCACGTGCTAAACTCACGGATATAAAAGTGTATGTGCCTATGTACCTTAAGGTCAGTTTATCAAACAGAAAATATTCAAATTCAAATATTTTTTGTATACACACAATATCCGTAGAAATGGCTTATTGTATTTCAGAAATCTTCGGTCATTGATTTAATGTATATTTGAATAATGTATAATTTTAAAGAGCTAATTTAAATATGCGTATGCATTTTAATTTAATCTGTTTTAATTTAATTCATTAAAAAAATCATATATTTATAACAAAATATTTTATGACTAATCTAAGATCTGGAGATTTTACTTTAGCTATAAGTTATTTTATTTTACTAAAAGTGGCGAGCTATAGGCAATTTTCATTAATTAAATTAAATTTAAGATAGAACAATAATCAGTTTTTTGTATATATTCCTCAAACCTTTGGTCATTGCATTAATTAAAATTTCCATTACAATAATTAAATTATGCGAATGAATTTCATAATCTGTTTTAAAATGTGGCAATTGGAGTATCCAAATGTTTATAAATTTAAAAAAAAAATTAAGACTGATTTATATATATAGTTTTTACTACAGATTGCATCATAGGATTACAAAGTATTGTATTTTAACTTAGTTTATTTTTAAGACCATTTTAAGACAAATTAATACTCAATTTATTGTATATTTATTTTAGACACAAAATCTGCATAAATGGCATATTGTTTTTTTACAAATCTTCATTGCATTAATTAAAATTTTTCATAATAATTGAATTATGCGAATTCATTTTATTTTTATTTAGGGCGATAAAAACATTCATATATTTATGAATTAAATTTATTAATATTCTTTAATACATGGTATCTATAGATTTTCTATATCAAGAGCTACTTATAGCTTTGATTAAAAGCGAATCAATTTTTATTATTTAAGATCAATTTAAGACGATTTATTAATATTTTTTCTCGTACAAAATATTCCTAAAAGCAGCTTAATTGCCTTACAGAATATTTCGGTAATTACATTAATTAAAGCATCCATTACAATAATTAAAATATGCAAGTTGATTTTATTTTAATCAGTTTTAGAATATTCTTTATACTAATCTATAAATATTTCTATATATAATAACGATGTATTCGTTAATTAATCATTTAACAATATTTTTTAATCTTAACCCAAGATATCAATATAAATTTTTAATACCAAATTATCAGAATATTTCGGTCGCTACATTAATTAAAATATAGGAATTAATTTTATGTGATCTTATTTTTAATTTGGTGAATATTTATATAATTATTGATGGATGTTTATATATATGTTTACGATGTAGTCTTTGATTGATCAATTAACAATATTTTTTAGGGCTAATCTATAGAAACTTGATATCTGTAGATTTTAACTATTGAATGTATCAAGCAATTATAACTTTTTTAGAGCTATACAAGGGGCAAATCAATTTTTATTATTTAAGATAAATCGATAAGTTTAATTGAACGATATGTCTTTTTAATTATATCGTTGTGTTCATCAGTATTATTTTATATCGTTGAACTAGTAAATGTGTGTCACGAATCATCTAATTTATTAAAGACCACAATAATCAATAAATATGAACGTCAGTCAGTCTTAACAAGCTTATATATTTAGTATTTCTATTTGGAATATTTTCAATAGAAAAAAACACTTACATAAAAATGTAATAATGAATACTAGATACTGTTGAAAAATAAAAACTGCTATACTATGATAAATAATTTGTAATTTAATTATTTTCGTTATAAAATTTATTATTTTTATTGCTTATGATTGAAAAGTATTATCAGCTGTTTATGATGAAACTTCTCCAACAACTTTAGTTTTTAGAACACAACCCAACGGTTAGCCTATTCAAATCTATCAATAATCAAAATTTATCTAATATTGAATAAATTAAAAAATATATCTATTTTTTAATAATGACTCTTATGTATATTACTGTAGAAAATATTTTGGCCATGATTTCCTACCTGACTTATTTACAATTCAGAGATAAGATAGGAAATACTTATCACTTCCTATCATTAGTTTGTGTGTTGCAAGTCTAAACTCATCTTATTTCATTGGTATATTGTTTCAAAGAAATATTTAGTCAAAAATATTCTTTTTATTGCAAAACTAGGTGTAAGTGGCATTTTGCCTTAAGGGAAGTTACACAAACTTCTCGATATTTGAGAAGTAATAAGAACTAGTTCTTATTATAATCACAGCTGTTTAGAAAAAATAAAAATGAAATTTCAAATTTGTAGATAATGAAGAAATTTTGTTGAATTGATTCATTCAAATTATGTACCAAAACGTCTCACAATAAAATAAAATGGCAATATAAATTATTTTTCACACACCATATAAATTGATCTAATCACTATATAATAATTTTAATCATTTATCATAGAATTTTATCTAGACTAAAAGAATACGTAATCTGCAAAGCAAATATTGACCAATGGTAAACTTTCAATTAAGGCCACATGTTTGTATAGCAACTATGAAGTATTGACCTTAACTCAACACGAGGACAGTCTTTGAACTCAATACAAAAAATATCAATAAATCCCTATTTTTTATTTGAAAAACATTGATCAATAACAGAGCAATATAACAATACTGTTTGGTTTTGCCCTGGAGCAGGATACGATAAAGAAAACATAAACTTTTCAAATGTTTTTGCGGATACTGTGTCGTGCAGACAATAATCATTATGAAGAATGAGTTTTATGCAAAAAATAACATATATAATGGCATGATATCGTTGTATGAAATCAGTAAATAACTCATACATGAGTTGCATGTAACATTTTATTATTCGTGCTAATAAAATATGGGTGCATCTTTTCAGAGAGTGTTATCTTATTCTTAAAATAAACAACCTGTGTGCTTTCTTAAATTCCAGTGTATAGAATTTTAACAATGTGTACGAAAAGGTGATTCGATGCCAATTTGAATAATACGAAATATTCTAAATTTTAGTTATAAATTTGAAAATTGAAAACCATTATGAGCAAAAACGCCAATGACAGAGGCAATGGGCCAACGTGAGTATTTGTCAAAATTTTGTTTTTAAAATTGAAATATGAATAATAATTTTATTTGATAAATACTATCCAATACTATTGTGAATATTTAACATGTTTAATATTATAATATGTTTGGTTTGATCTGAGCTGAAATATGATCTGAAAGATTCATCTTAACTGGACATTTTTAATATGGGAGACAAATTTACTTCAGTTAACTTCTTACAATATATTAATATATTTTCCAAATTATTTTAAATCTAAATTTAATCGATACAAACTCTTACTTTTAAATTCAGTTATTTTACATGTTTATTCTACAAATGTGTATTTCAATTCCAAAATTTAAATTACTTTACATCTAATTTTAATCCAAGCAAGTCCTTACAAATTTTAAATTTCGATGATCGGTTATTAAATTTGATATTGAATATTAAATGAATAATGATATTAATTTAACATTCCAAAATTAAATGATAATTGTGGTTATGCCATATTTTGCATGACTACTGATATTTTGATCGCTAAAAGTAGATCAATATTCATGAATAGTGGGAAAACATGACTTTGCATATTGACTCAAAATATAATATCTTTTATTATTAGAAATGTGCAAATTTAGAACATACGATTTTTTCATGAGTGTGCATTTATATTTTCAACCAGCAGTATATTTATTTATTAATTATATCATCCGATCTATGTTTCTCAAAAACACTTTTTATCAAAAATTTGCACATATTTTTGGAAAAATACCATGTTGTACGACTTTGATCGCGACGGTATGAAGTTATAATCCTTCACCAAAATATAAAATCAAAAAAATATATTATACCTAGTATGGTAAGTTTTAGTATAATTTATAATACATTCTGCATGTAGGAAAAAGTGTCACGTTAGAATATTTGGAAATATTCTATTTTTAGTAGCACGTGGAGCATCAGAGTTGAATATTAAGAGGATGTTGAATTTTCAAGTCTTGTTTCAGAAATAGAGTTCAAGTACATCATTATTTACATAAATAGGTCAATTAATATAAAAACCAATTCATGACATTGTTAATAATAATGCTATTAATTTATTATATAGAACTTAAAATATATTTAGTACTTTTACTTGTCGATGATCCCAATGAAGTTATAAATGATTAGGTCCATTATAACGATTTGAAAATTTGTTTTAAACGATGCCAGGAATTTGTTTTTAAGCTATTCGAAATAAAACTTTTACAGAATTAAAATTATCTCTGTAAAATAAGGACTTCACGACCGTGGAGCCTAGAGTTGAATATTGGAGGATGTTAGAATTATTTCTTTAACATTTTCTGGTTCTCATAAATTTCGATTTATTTTCCTCTTTATTATAGAAAACCAGGACCAGCAACGCCTTTGATAGCAGTAACAACCAGAGGCCTTGGTACTTACCAAATTACCAGAAATGTACAAACTACAGAACAAGTTCAAATTGCAGGCGGCTATGATCCACCAAAAAGCCATTGTAAGTTTTATTATGTAATCAACCGAAATATCCAAATAAAAAACCCTGATCGATGATATAACACACGTTTTTTAATTTAAGAAATAATTGGATAATATCGTAGCAATAATGCTGCATAAAACAGTTGCAATTATACCAATTAGTTGGTAATGAAACTTTGATATTATATAACTGAATTAAATAAATTGCTTTGCAAAATAATTAAAATTTAGTTTCACTCTATTTCTTTAAATGTGGTATTATATAAAAGTTGTCAGTAAAATTATATAACCCACACAATTCTAAGACTAGATATAACGTTTTCTATTTTGAAATGGACAATCTTAGCAACGTTCAGAAAACAGTGTTTATTTTTTTAATTAGGAATTTTTGAAAAACATTACATTCTAAGAATAATATTCAAACTGTCATTAAATCAGTATTTTAAAGATAATTCCAAATCGATCAAATTATATGTATGTGCACATGTATGGTTCTCTAACGATTTATTTTTAAATAGACCTGAATGCAAGAAATGTTTTTCTTGCTCGTTCTGGAAAAGCACTTATTTATTCATTAAGTATAGTTTTCAGAAAATCATCATTAGGTTGTGGTTAGCAATAATAATAATATTGACTAATTGACATAAATTAAAAATATTTTTCATATTAAAAACAGGCAAAAATATTTTATTTTCTAATTCAAATTATAAGTGAACAAGACATTCAAAAATCATTCTGAGGTTAGCATGGTTAAGAGAAGACTACCCAGTGGTAAAATTTCTATTTTTGAAAAATTCGATACCTCCAAAATGCTATGAAATGATTTTGAGAAATTTGAGAAATTTAGTTTTAAGAAAATGCATGACACACCCTCGAGTTAAGACGTTAAAATTTTAATGAATGGCAAAATTTGTAACACGTTTTTTAAATTCTATTTTTAAATAACAGATTTCTACTGTATATATATATGATAAAATAATGTTATCAATTCAAACATTTACTCATACTAATATTGAAATATTCACATATTCTCAGTATTCAAACATGTATGACTAATTGTAGAAGTAACTTCTCAACTTTTTTGCATGATTATACAGTTGTTTTACCATGAGATTTTTTATATAATTGTTTTTCGACTGCTTTGTTTACAAACTTAGTCACATTCTATATGGCAAAACGCTCATTTTTCTATATTGTTGTAAAAAATAAATAACTTTATATACGTCAATGCTTTTTGAATATATAGTAAGATCATAAGAGTAAATGCCTACGAAAATTAAAACTCTAGAAATTTGAGAACTTGGATATTATTGGTTTCGATTTTCACACACTCTCATTGTTTTGATCCAAATATACATTAGCTTTGTTTTGATAATCCAAGATATAAGTTTGCATATAAAGAATTTTATTTGTTTGTAATTAGGAATCTCATTTAACAATTAGCTGACGCATCGAGACAAAGCCCAAGTTTCACATTAAATGAGTATTTGTATGTCATTAAATTTGATATGAACTTACATTCCAAGTATTGTAGTATTAAACTAATTACATGGCACACAAACATATTTTAGAAGTGATAATTAATTCAAGGTCGTCACAAAATGCTTATATGTATTCTAGAGCATGCTTGTCGTTTTTAAAAGATATTCAATTATATTTCGATCACGTACATCTTATAAATGGAAAATTTAACTTAGATTCTTAGATGCAAAAATGATAATATAAAGAGCAGTTGTAAAATGTACGTTTGCACGAGTCAGCAATTATTTATCATTAACAAACATAAAGTATTTTTTTAATTATTTAATTGTATTAATTTTAATTCTTTGTTCATTGTGACGGTTCAGGAGATATAATTATATAATAAGATAATAGGGTAAAACAAAGGTGACCATAGTCTGGATAGTTTGCCCGGGTCAGTTCCGGATTTCCACATTCCGTCCTGGATTCTCCTACAATCCAGGATTCAAGTCATTTGTCCTGATTTTTTTATTTAAATTCGCGACGAGAAATAGACACACAAATAGCCATATTATTTACTAAAGTTCATTATGATGAAAATATTATAGAATTTTATAAAAATGAGAAAGACACGCGCAGAAGTAATACAATTTAGGAAAAATTGGAAAGTTCTCATGAAAATTTTATACGGGGATAGTATAATTCTCCTAGCTAGGAAGAGATCATAGCACGATGTAGTATTATCAATGAACCTGATTGTATTACCAAAGTACCACAAAGCACATCATAATACATGTAGTAATTTCAATAAATAGGTTGTACTATCATAGTACGATGTAGTATTATAATTGAACGTGATTGTACTATCATAGTACGACGTAGTAAGTCGTAGTACGGTGTAGTTTTACAATGAACGTGAGTGTACTATCATAGTATTATCAATGAACGTGATTTTACTATCATAGTAAGACGTAGTAAGTCGTAGTACGATGTAGTATTTTCAATGAACGTGATTGTACTATCATAATACGACGTAGTAAGTATACGATGTAGTATTATCAATGAATGTGAGAGTACTATCATAGTATAATCAATGAACGTGATTTTACTATCATAGTACGACGTAGTAAGTCGTAGTACGATGTAGTATTATCAATGAATGTGAGTGTACTATCATAGTATTATCAATGAACGTGATTTTACTATCATAGTACGACGTAGTAAGTCGTAGTACGTATATCAATGAACGTGATTGTACTATCATAGTATTATCAATGAACGTGATTTTACTATCATAGTACGACGTAGTAAGTCGTAGTATGATGTAGTATTATCAATGAACGTGATTGTACTATCATAGTACGACGTAGTAGGTCGTAGTACGATGTAGTATTATCAATGAATGTGAGTGTACTATCATAGTATTATCAATGAACGTGATTTTACTATCATAGTACGACGTAGTAAGTCGTAGTACGTATATCAATGAACGTGATTGTACTATCATAGTATTATCAATGAACGTGATTTTACTATCATAGTACGACGTAGTAAGTCGTAGTACGATGTAGTATTATCAATGAACGTGATTGTACTATCATAATACGATGTAGTAAGTCGTAGTACGATGTAGTATAATCAATGAATGTGAGTGTACTATCATAGTATAATCAATGAACGTGATTTTACTATCATAGTACGACGTAGTAAGTCGTAGTACGATGTAACTTTATCAATGGACGTGATTGTACTATCATAGTACGACGTAGTAAGTCGTAGTACGATGTAGTATTATCAATGAATGTGAGTGTACTATCATAGTATTATCAATGAACGTGGTTTTACTATCATAGTACGACGTAGTAAGTCGTAGTACGATGTAGTATTATCAATGAACGTGATTGTACTATCATAGTACGACGTAGCAAGTCGTAGTACGACGTAGCAAGTCGTAGTACGACGCAGTGTTATCAATGTATATGAGTGTACCATCATAGTACGACGAAGTAAGTCGTAGTACGATGTTGTATTATCAATGAACGTGCCTGTACTATCATAGTACGACGTAGTAAGTCGTAGTACTATGTAGTATTATCAATGAACGTGATTGTACTATCATAGTACGACGTAGTAAGTCATGGTGCGACGTAGAAAGTCGTAGTACGATGTAGTATATTATCCAATTTCCGTCTTATTTCAGGTTGTAGTTTGGCTTGCTGTCCAAAACCAAAATGTGATCGATGTTGGAAAATTACGCGTTCAGTTTGTCCCATACTGGATTGGCTACCCGGGTATTCCCTCAAACGAGATCTATTCGGGGACATGATAGCGGGCATGACAACTGCAATAATGCATGTACCGCAAGGTATTCACATCAAATCAACTTGATTAGCATAATAAAACACTTTTGTTTTCATCGTAGCACTGAATAATAATAATTATAAAAAACAAATATGTAGAACTTTCCTCCTTCACATTTTTTCTTATAGATTGTTTTCCATATAAATGCATCATTTTATTTAGGTTTATATTTCCTGGTGTACATTTACTTAATATTTTACTATGTGCAATTTAAGGCAAAATGTGTATTTTTCAGGTATGGCATATGCCTTGTAGCAAATGTTATTCCAACAGCAGGACTATATATGGCTTTCTTTCCTGCATTGGTTTATGTAGTTTTTGGGTCATCTAGACATGTATCCATGGGTAATTACAAACATATTTTACAATTTTATTGCCGATCTTTCCAATAAAATTTATTTAAAGTATTGTATACTGATAAAAATAATTTATTTCGCAGGAACATTTGCTGTAGTTAGTATAATGGTAGGAAAAATTGTTCAAGAATACGCCTATTTTCCAGTAAGCAAAAAAATTATACGCACACGAATATAGTATACAATTTTTAAATATTTTTATCATTTTAGGACGGTGTAGAGAAAATACAGGAGATACGACTACAATTCCTGGTTAGACCCAATTTTAAATTATCTTATTTTTACTGAATTATGTAATTAAATTTAAATTAAAGAGACTGTATAATTTTAGACCCTGATGTGCAATATGATCCTACAGAAGTGGCAACCGCAGTTACATTTCTGGCTGGAATTTATTTGGTAAGCACTGGAAACGATTGAAGTGGAATATCAAAAATGTAATTTTTGCTAGAACATGAATTCCATAAAATATTAATTTCAGCTTATCATGTGGATTTTTCGTCTAGGGGCCCTTAGTACTCTGTTATGCGAGCCCCTGATAAACGGTTTTACTACAGCCGCTGCCGTTGCGGTTCTCATCAGCCAAATGAAAGATTTATTGGGCCTTAAAATTCCGAGACATAATGGAATGTTTAGTCTTCCCTATGTAATTTAATACAATTATTATAAAATCATATATTCAAATTGACTGGTTCATTCAAATTCAATTTCTTTCAGAACTTATACGAAACAATTATAGGTTTACCGACCGCTAATACTGCTACTATAATAGTATCAATATCTGTGATATTTGTGATGACATTGAATAACGAACTACTTAAGGTAAATCTTAAATGCCTCAAATCCTTGAAGCATAACATATGAAGAATATTGAAACCCAAATTTATTTTAAATTATTGTTTTCCAGCCTTGGTTGGGTAAACGATGTCGGATGCCAGTTCCTGCGGAACTATTGTGCGCCATAGCAGGCACCGCTGTTTCATACCTTCTTGATCTTAAGCAAAACTACAATGTGCCCATTGTTGGAGAAATACCCACGGGGTAGGTAACGTAAGTAAGTGATCCGGCTCACTTTTAAATAAATTCAATTTTAAAGAATTGGTTTTTGTCTTAAAATGTGGCTATATATAATTTTTAATTTACAGTTTGCCAACACCAAGTTATCCACGATTTTCTTTACTACGTTTGGTAGCTGTCGATACAATCGCCGTTGCCATTGTTTCCTATTCCATCGTGATGTCTTTAGGATTGATATTTGCGAGACGCCTTGGATATACCATAAGGCCAAATCAAGAACTTCTAGCAATGGTATAGTTAATATAGTCTCTAATTGATTTACAACACCATATATTGCATTTTTTATGTCTAATTATTATTTTAGGGTTTGGCAAATTTGGTAGGAGCTGGATTTTCATGTATTCCCATTGCTTGTTCATTGACCAGAACCATGATCCAGGCAAATATAGGAGGAAAAACGCAAATGGCGACGGTCATATCAGCTTCTATTATATTAATCGTACTTTTGTGGATTGCGCCTTACTTGCAGTATTTACCACGTGTAAGTTTTGAAGTTCCGGAAATAAATAAATGAAATTGGTTATTAAATTATTTTAATTTATAGGGAGTTCTGGCAGCTATTATATTAGTCGCATTGAAAGGAATGTTCATGCAAGTAAAAGATTTGAAACGATTTTGGCTACTGGGCCCTATACATGCTGCTATATGGGTAGGAACATTTTTAGGAGTTGTCTTCATTAGTATTGACATGGGGTGAGCAATTTTCGCAAAGATAATCAGTTTAAATTTAGTTTATTTAAAATGATTAGTTATAAACAAAAATGATGTATTTGCAAGATTGCTAATTGGCGTCGTGCTATCTTTGATGACTTTATGGTTTGGAAATAGATCGAATTGCAAAGTGATGGGTCGTATACCAGGAACTGACTTATATGCTGATGTTAGTTCATACAAACTGGTAATATTATATATTTATTAATCATTTTAAATGAATATAAACTTATATATCTAAATAATTAATTCCAATCTTAATTGTTATCATAATCTAAGGCTGAAGAATTACCACATATTAAAATTATTCATTACGATGGAAATATCAGTTTTGCCGCATCAAGCAGTTTCAAGAAATCCATTCTCAAAAATATACAATTTGCTCCTGCACATGAGGAAGAAGAAGCATTGCGGGATACAAAAGTAAATTCTTTATTGATCTTAGAGTTGAATATAGTTTAACAAAAAATCACTTTGATACCAAATCTAATAAAATTGAAAATATTATTTTAAACATGAAGTACTCTCAAAATAAAATAAAATTTTCAATTTCAGTCAGTCCGTGTCATAATTTTGGACATGAGTTCTGTTCGCCATGCAGATGCCGAGGGAATGTGTTTTCTGTTTCAAATGAAACATGAACTATCTCAAAAAAATATTAGTATTACAATGGCAGCCCCAAGTGGTAAGTGCACACAAAATTATCTGTTGAAATTAGCACTTGTAGATGGTTTCTTATTATTATTATTAATATTATTATTTGCAGATGGAGTATTAGAAGTAATTCGTAGATTAGAAAGCATTGGACCAAAGTCTTGTGCTGCTTTGAAAACAACAAAAGCAATAGAAGCCTTTCCTACAATTCATGATGCAGTAATACATTGCCAACAAACTCTTAATGAATCTGTATAATGATACCGATACTGTAAATTGTAATAATCCTGTACTTACACAGATGTTTATCCTACTTAACACAATGATAGAAGGATTACTGATTTACATGTAATAATAATTTTCGATAAACACTTTTTTAAATAAAAAGGATTATTTTTATATTAAATTATTTATTAAAAATATTTTATATACCTTTAAAATATATAACAACTCTAAATACCTTATGCCTAGGTGAGATGTTTATTTCATTAATAGTTTATAATATCACTTTCAACATAAATATAAAAAATGTATATGCATTAATTTAACTTTTTTGGGCATAAATGCAATTTAGTCATTTTGTTTACTTAATACTACTAATACTATCAGCAAATGTAAATGTAACCATCTCTTGAAGTTACATTCAATTTTTCATAAATATTGTGTCATAAAAATTGAAAGCTTACTTCATATAAAAATACAGTTAATATCATCAGTTATATATATATGGCAAAATATAGAATTAAATAATAAAGATAAGGGCTATGCTAAAAATGTACAGGTACAGAACTCTAAAGACGAAGCAGATAATTCTTGATTCATTCTTGATGTAAAGAATGTTTTCTTTTCATAACAGTGAAGAATCTAAGTAAAGTGTTTTCACTTTTAGGAGTTTTTAGTACATTATCCGAACTAGATTTATTCCGACTTCTTCTTGAAGGTGTACCATGAAACTTAGGACTTTCTTCAACATGGCCATTAGGAGACCCAAATTCTTTAACATCATCAAGAGGTGAAGCAAAGTTTTCATAAAGCCGCTTTTGCTTAATGTGCCTTGTGAGCCAATCTACATTCTCCTTACATTTTTTCTTTGGAGAAATAGTCCTCAAATGTGGTGCTTCACCATTCAGAACATAATTTGGCAAATTTATAGTAGGAGAGGTAAAATTTAGAGCTCTTGATGACTGTGGTGTTGAAATTAGGGATTTGCAACGATCATTTATGGGAGTTAGAGGCAATATTGAAGTGTTTGAGCAACCTGGTTCACATTTTTCATTTTCTTCTATGATTGTACTTAATTCTGCGCTTGTTCCACACTGTTCAAATAAACGTCTTGCTCCTCTATTTTCTAGATGAATTCGTTTCTTTTCTGGTGCATGATCTTCGTCTATATCTGAGGCACCTAACATGTCACTAGAATTTCTTTTCAAAAACCTGCTGCTAGACTGGGTATTTAACATTTGACATTTGATACAATTTTTGTCTTGTAAACCATTGTTAATGGGTGTACGAGATTCACAATTATCACATTGCATTTTAGACTTCAAATTACTTCCAGTTGATGGTGTTTTCTCACTCCTACCAACCCATCTTTTGACACTTCTTGGTGTATATTCTAAAGATCCTAATTCTTTATTTGGAATTGCATAGTTATCCATTTTTTTATTTTGGCCTCTTAATAATGTATGGTCAACATCTTCTGAGCCTACTCGCCATACTTTGTGCTTTGCATCATCACTACAAGTAATAATCTTTGGTTCTCCTTGAGCACACCAGGCAACACACGTAACTTCAGCCGCATGGCCTTCCAGGGCCACAAGTGGTGTGGGCCAGTCAACATTCCAAATATAAGCTCGCTCATCACTACTTCCACTGGCTAAATACCTAATGAGTTAAATTCATTTTCAAAATTAACTGATCTTCAATGTAATTCAACTTAACTCGATATTTGAATTCACTGAGTTTGAAAGCAACTTCATAATAAAATACAATGGTACATCATATAAATGTATATACTATCACTTGTACAATAAAGATGAATAATGAAAAAAACAACAGTACAAAAATCAACATTGCAAAATTAAATTTACAATGATTAGGTAATATGCGCATGTCCATTATATGAAAATAATAAAGATTTAATATATATATATATATATATATATATATATATATATATATATATATATATATATATATATATAATTTATTATATATATATATATATATATTATAATATATATATATATATATATATATATATAATTAAAATTGAAATCCTACCTTCCATCAGCACTCAAAGCAGACTTGACATAAAATGTAGCATTTTCTAAACCCGAATATATATTTATAGGGCGATTATGTCCTCCACTAGCATTATAGCAATATATTCGATTATCCATACAATTTGCATACAATCTTGATCTTGTATGATCTAGTATTAAATTTGTGAAACCTTTGCAAGCACTGGAGCCTGATGAAATAAATAATATTAGATATATAAAATAAATTATTTTGTTTTATTAATATACCTGCATAGCTTAATGAATGTTTTGGTAAGGGTTCTCTTTTTGCATTAGAATATGTTTTACGTAAATCCCAAATTTTAATGACTCCATCACCAGCACCACATGAAATTAAGTCATATGAGTCACGGAAAACTAATCCTGTTATACTATGAGGTCGTGATAGACTAGAAGATAGTCCTCCACTACCTGGAGTTTGCCCACCTCGGATCTTTTTTCTATGCTGCTTGAAACAAGTGATTTATTTAATAATGATTTAATTTAAATTTCATTTAATTAAATATACTTTTAATATATTATAGATGATGTACCTGACTTGGAGTTGTTGATGCTGCACCATGACAAATAAAGATCACATCATCAGCTCGTGTTTGATAACCAGACAACCCTACAATACAATTATGTTAAAAAATATTTTCAAATGCAATGTGACCATATTGAGTAATATACAAAAATAGAATTAAAGTCACTTATATAATAAAATTATTCAACTTATAAACAACCTGCTGCTGATCGTACATCCCATATATATATAGCACCATCACGACCGCCGGTGGAAAAAACAGCTGGATCCTCAGGACGAAAACACACAGTTTTTAATGATCTCGTATGACCAGAAAATATACGAATAGGGTTTGGCCTATTTTCATCCAAATCCCAAAGGCGAGCAGTATGATCTCCTATAACAAATTATTTTACTTGATGAAATAATACTTAACTATAGACTTGAATTGAATAATTCTGCTTAATCAGAGCCAAACAAAATAAAATTTTGTTATCATGATTGAGTATCAAAACCAACCTGATGCAGAAACTATCTGAGTATTATATGGCATCCAAGCTAGATCAAAAACTGCATTATGATGGCATTGTCTTCCCTCTAATGGTTGGTTTGCTACACTTTCGGAAGATGCAGGTAACGTTGTGTCATGAAAAGCAATCTGTTAAGTAAAAAAGTATGAATTTCTATAGATTAAAAAATTACTACTATTATACAGTCCTTATTGATAAACTCACCATTCCATCTTCATTGGCAATTGCTAGTATATGCTCAAAACCTTTTGCAACCGCAAATTTGGCAGCCAAAATAGGTGGCTCGGGATTATAGTCAGCGCCATCAGTAGATGGTAAAATACCTGACCAAGAATCTTTTGGGTCAACAACTAGCCTACACAATGCACTGTCATAGTTTGTCCAAGCTATTGAATTTAATATATAATAAGTTGAATTGAATTGAATTAGATATAATTTATAAATATAGCATTAATAAGTGATTACTATAAAAACCTACATTTTCCGTAAAATCTATTAGTGAAAGACACAACATCATTAATCATTGTTATCCTAAATGTAGTTTATCATTAATATTAAAGGGCTAGTTTTGCATAAAATGAGCGCACTTTTACTCGTTGTCAAGCTATGTCAAATTGCGCGCAAAATTAGTGAAAAATGGCCTCGGAAGAATGCACAACCTAAAAACAAAAATATTTCACATTATGCAAAAATAATAAAATCAAGACTATATTTTGTAATCTATATTAATTACTTTATATGATTTTATACGGTTATTTCTTCTAGATTATACCTTATTATTTATATAAAGAACTGTAACTTACGTGAATTAGGCACATTATAACGAATGTATTTACAATTATTACATAGTGGTATATTTAATGGCTTAATAATTAAAAATGTAAAAAATGAAACTATTATTAACGATATGGCTCATTCATTATTTATTCATTTTGTATTTTACTAAAATACAAAACTTTCTACATGTTGACACATATCAATCACTTCTAATTTCAGACTGTTTCTATCTATCTGTCAAAATTTTGGTTTGTGATTATTCCGCCAAAATTCTAAACATCTCCAATGCGTAAACAACATTAATTTTATTTCTTCTTCTGACTAAAATAATAACAGTTATGGCTGAATCACTAAATATTAGTAATGAGGACAATGGAGTTACTATGGTAGACGTCTTGAGAGACGAGGAAGCTCTGGAAGAAGATGCTCATGCAGTTTTAGGAGGATCTGATGATAAATTTTGTACATATTCGAATGTAAATATATACAGTACATGTTTTCATAAATTAATTTGAGGGCTACTTTTGTAAAACACAACTTTTTAATTTTTCAGGGCTATGTCAAAAGACAAGCTTTATATGCTTGCAGAACTTGTAACACAAAAACATCTCAGGATGCCGGTATTTGTTTGGCTTGCAGTTACCATTGCCATGAAAATCACGATCTCATTGAGTTATATACAAAACGTAATTTTCGTTGTGATTGTGGTAGCTCAAAAATGCCTGGAATCAAATGTAATTTAGATCCCTTCAAGTCAGAAGATAATGTTGATAACAAATACAATCAGAATTTTTCTGGTCTTTATTGCACCTGCCATAGACCTTATCCTGATCCTGAGGATAAAACTCCTGATGAGATGATACAGTGCATCGTTTGTGAAGATTGGTACCATACGCGACATTTGGGAGTAGCAGTACCATCAGCCGAAGATTATTCTGAAATGGTTTGTTTTGGATGTGTAAACAAAAACGACTTTTTGCTTAATTATGCAGTTTATGATGTGACAAAGGGTGATGATGATGAGAAAGAAATAGATGTTGAAACTCCATCCAAGAAGCTTAAGACAGAATCCAATGTTTCAATTTCACAAACTGTTGATGGATGTGTGAAACCAATTTCAAGCACAGCCCCAAAAACTACTCTCTTTTTTTCTGAAGGCTGGAGAGAAAAATTATGTAAATGTACCAATTGCTCGAAAACTTATTCAGACTTGAAAGTAGAATTTCTGATAGATTTAGAAGACCGCGCACAGTATTATGAAGAGCAAGGTAAATTTAAGGCTAATAAAACATCACAATATGAAAATGGTTTAAGAGCACTTTCTTCACTTGGTCACGTACAGCAGATTGATGCCATTACAGAGTATAATAAAATGACTGCAAAATTAAAGGAATATTTACAAACATTTGCTGATAATAAAAAGATTGTTACAGAAGAAGATATTAAAATATTTTTTAATTCTATGAAAGAAAATCGGCCTACATCAATTCCTCAACCAAATTTCTGTCGCTAAATGTATTTTAAATTTAATTTTTATATCCTATATGGATTGCAAAATCATTCATATTTTTACCAAATAACCATTTATGCATATTTTTGTAGAATATGAAAATTAATGTATTGGATTTTGAATGTTAATAAAAACAGATGTTATAATCTTAATCAATTTAAATGTTTTATTGTCAATTGGCTTTTGATAATTTTTTTTCTGAAAAATTAATGAATCATAGAAACTATCTGAACTTTTAATATGCATATATTAGTTTTTAGCTTAAAAAATAAATTATTTATAAATTGCATTTATAAAAATAGATAATTCTCAATAATAAAATATTAAAAATGCATTATATAATATATATATATTTTTATACAATTTTTCTCTGATATTTGGTTTCATATAGAAAAAAAAACAATATCTTAACTTCACTTATTATCACAATTATGTACTAAGATTTCTTTTTGAAGAAAATTGTTTCAATTATTTACATTGTTCAGCCTTTGTCACTGCTATAAATATATACTATTACAATTTACATATAAAATCTGTATTACCTATACAACATAAAAAACAATTAAAACTATTTAAAAACAGTACCTTTGTACCCTTTATAGATTTAATTCAGCAATGAAAATTATTAGGAAATAGGATAAGGTATTACATCATAATATTTCTACCAAAGCGATGATAGTAATTTCCAGAAACATGATGGGCCTGTCGACCCAGCAGGGGCATGTGTGTTTTAACAATGTATTGTTCAACACTCCACACTCGTAAGAGATGAAACTAGGAGATTCCTATGAACAACTAGATCAAATGCAGATAGCTTCCAAGCATAACCGATAACAGTACAAAATATAAAAACAACATTCACTGAATTTACTTTCACTTGCACAGTCTGTTAAACGCAAGAAGGAATAACACGAAGCAAAAACAGTATAAGACACTAATTTGGTATTTGTTTGACTTTAGCACGTCTCAACATGCAATATAGTTTATCCATCAAACTCATGCAAAAATATAGATATGCACCTTTTGTGTTCCAGATATATAACCATGTCTTAAAATTGTATATATCTCAAACAAGTTTCTTCCGAATACAAGATCAATATTGATCTACTTTTTCAAAGCATATTGGTTCTGCATTATTATAATGGCTTTGTAGCATCAGTCTGTACTCCAATAATTTACAATAATTTTCATTTTAAATAAGATTTACACAAGATAGAGCTTCTACTTGTTTGTTTTTCTTGTTCCAATAAAAACAACATATCTCTCAAATTGACTCGTTTTAACCGAGGTCTCAAGGGAGCAGCTGGTCGGCCACTTGAGCTGCTTGAACTTCCAACCTGAAATGTAATACAGATTTTTAATATAATTTTTCTTCAATACTATATTTATAATCAATGTTTTATTATTAATATATTTATAATATATAATATATAAAAATGTATCAAGAATTGATCATATAGCATATTGATTTAATTATAATAATTTACATTATATAATATAGTTTTATAATGTAAAGATTATGCATAAATAATGAATAATTGTTTTAATGTTATTTAATCCTAAACAGTAAATAATTTCAGTTAAAATTTTAGTTTGAATTACAAAATATTCAAGAATTTTTTTTATTCAAAAACTGGTTTTCAAAAATACCCATGCAGCAATGATTACCTGAACATTGGCACTGGATTCTTCTAATTTAGCCTTTTTCCTAGGTCCAATTGCCTGCAAAGCCGTTAGATTAGCCTCCCTCTGCCGTAATTCCTCCATTTCCGCTCTTTGCATTTCTTTAGCTTTTGCCTTAAGCTTGGCTTGTTCAGGATCTTCCGATTTACTTCTAGATTTAGCAGCACGCAATAGCATTTCACGTTCCTGTTCTTCATGCCTTTTGCGCTCTGCCCGATCAAGTTCTTCAAGAAACTTCAACTGACCCTTCACATCTTGTGTTGTTTCATAACGTGGGTCAAGCTGTAAATGGTTAAATATTATATTATATAGTCTGTTAATAAATATTTGTAATTTTAATGAGATTTAATGTTAACCTTTATGACATCTATTCGATGCTCAGCTATCACAGCCAATTTCTCTATAATATTTTTTAATCTTTCTTGTGTAGCATGGGATATTAAAGCCATGACGTCCGGACTTGGATCCTCCAATCCATGTTTAGCTGATATTTGCCTAATTTTAGCTTGCAAGGGTGCCGACTGCAAAAATATTTCATCTTTACATGATCTAATTTGGGTTCCTATCATTTCTGTTGATCCTAAAATTCTCTGAGTTTCTTCTGCTAAATTTACACCACCCATGGCCGCAACATCATTTATATCATCATCGCCTGAAAATTCCATCAATGATGATTAAATTATTTAAATTTTGTTTTTGGCCAGCTTTAATAGTAAATTATGAAGGGTGTACTAGATTTAAAATAATTACATCTTATTTTTACTATAATATCAACCAACCTGCATATGCAGCCGCACTGATAAAGCTTTTCTTCTCCTTCGGCCTAATTTGACTAACACTACTATTTAAAGAATTTATAGCAGACTTATTAGCAGGAAATGTATTTTGTTTATTAAAACCAATTCCAGAATTTGGTAATCCTACTGACTTATTTTGAACATTTTGTACGGTACCACGGATATTCGTGGTATTTGCAGCATTATTTAGAATATTAACCCCGGATGCCTTATTTCCTGTTGCTGGAGTTATGTGGCGTGCCGGTGAAGAACCTCTTATGATATTTCCTCCAGTTCTTGTTGCATTTTGTAACCGAATCTATATAAATAAGAATTTACAATACTGTTATAAAATCACAGAAAATTATTTTTATGATTAGATTAGAGCACTTGTTTTTCTATAAAATTGAGAAATTGTGTTATAATTCACCATAATAACTAATTTCTACTGTTTATCTTAAAAATATTTTTATTATATTACCTGCTGTTGTTGTGCAGCAAATTGTGATCCACCTATGCTCACTGGATGCAGGGCAGGTGGATTTGTCGCTGATACAGTGCTATTAGTTGTATGCTGAATTTGTTGAGTTCTAATAACGGGCGTAGATGTTCGTATCTAATATTAAATGAATTAAGATATTTGTCCATCACGCTACCATATCAATTATAATTTTATACCTGTGTTCTAGGGCCTATGACGCGTGGTTGTTGTATAGTTGTAGGTCTAACGGTGGTTTGCATGACTGTTCCTGCAGCGCTTATGTTGCTAGGATGCACCAATCTCACTTGAGATTGAGCCGTCTTTGTAAAAGCAATCCATAATTTAAAATGATGTTTATAAAAGTTTATTTAAAACAAATAAATAAACCTCACCTGAACTTGCAGTGGTATGGTAGTTCCGCCAGAATAAACAACATTGGCAGGAGGAGGTTTAATACCTTCTATAACTAATTCTTTTAGCAATAAAGATTGCCTGAGTAATGGCAAACTTTTCTGTAATTATCAATATAATTAGATACAAACTAACTAACAAGCTTTAGTTAATTCAAGTAAAAATAAATATACCTTAAGAAATCCAATTAGGCACGGTTGTGGACTAGCATTTAACAATCTTTCTAAACGTTCACAAAACTCTTCTGGCTCAACTTTGCTGTCTATCAATTCCTGAATTAAAGTACGTACATTTCTTTCTACTGCCTTTGGTTCCCTCGAAGACAACTCTAATAGATTTGCCAAAAATTTTCGACATTTTTCCTTTGTGTTGTCAACAGAATTCCGCTACATGATTTCAATTAAATAATAATTATACATTAAAATTTCAATCTTTGGTAACGTGTTTAGTACTATTTTAGTACAAATAAAAATTACCACAACTCCTGGCTGAGTAGTCACTAGAGGAGCATTTGTCTTCATACTGTCCTGGTTTGAAGCTACTACATTTACGACTTGCTGTGTTACAATCTGAGATCCTGAGGCAGCTGAGGTAATCGTGGCATTTGAACTTCCAGCCACTGATGAGGATATATTTACATTTTGTACCTGAACAATTATAAGAAATTAAGACTATCACTATTTTCTAGTTTTTTAATCCAATATTTTACTTATAACAAAACCACTTTGGCTGACAAGTTGAAAATTTGCATTTGATGTATTACATATTAAAAAAAATTGATTGTATTAAAATGTTATTCAGGCTATGACATTCCGTTCTAATTTATTTCATGCAATATGAAATAATTCAGTATAATAAAAAATATTTTTATTAGTAGATTATTTTATAATCTACTAATACAACCTATAATTTGATTAAATTTACTATTCTTATTACTGATGATGAAGAAACTAACTTTCAAAATGCATGAGCAATAAATATGAAAAAACAAAGAGAATTTTTCATTTAAAAATGAATCTAACCATGTTAAACTATAAAATATTACAAGTATATTAGTAATTATGAAGATGAAACAGTTTAAAAGTTAAGTTAGTAAAATAACATGCATCAGACAACAAATATTCGAAAATTAATTACAATATGATAATAAAACAATTTGAAATGAACGTTAAAATGATATTGTGATATATATGAATGATATCTAGTCAAAGAAATAAAAACATGCATTTGCAAATTAATTCTCAATCTAGTATAAACCCAAAATATATAGCATTTTTGAAGTAGACAAGTTGCAAAAAAGAAATTTACTTACACAAAAAGTTGCTATAAAACAAAAAGAAATAAATTGATCCTCAGGACAGTCACAGACAAGTTTAGTAATTTTAGTGAATAAATCTTAATATTTACATTTGTGCCAAGTTTGACAATGGTTTTTCTTGCGGCCACCTGACTTACTGTAGGCGTTTGCTGAATTCGAATTGCTCCTCCAGCTGTTGCTACAGCCGATTGCTGTGACATTTGAGGTGTAGTAACAGTTGCCGTAGCTGCCTGGGGAGCAGGTCCCACACGTAACAGTTGATATTGACCATTCTCCGTCTTCAAAAGCAAATGTCCTTGCTGACCAGGTTGCAATCCTTGTAATGTTTGCAAGGTAATTTGCTAAAAATAATAGTAAAATCCTTGCATTAGGCCACAGATTATCCTAAGGTAGTTTTGTACAGAAAAGTTAGTTCATAAAGACAGAATGGGTACTAGTGAACCAAAACTATTAATATCGTTATTATCATACACAACAAATCCAAAATCTAAAAAATATCTAAACACAAAGTATGTAGACAGAGATAAAAAAATGAAAAAATGTATATAATATACACTGATATTTGAATTTAAATTTCTTGATTTAAATTATTAGTGTTCTAATATTTCATCTGTTTTCCTGTGATATTTACAATTATAACATAATACAATTCTGCATATCCAAATGTAAAAATTTAAATGAAACTAGATTTCATAAATTACTTTTATTCACTTTGTAGTGAAATTAATATATATTTGTCGATCAATTAATTCTTTTACTGTTTGTTTACAAATAGCCATATAAAGATCATGCTGAATGTTTCCATGATAATTATTCTTTTTATGCATAATTTTATTTTAAATAAGAGAAACATACCCCAGGCGTGCCTGGCCTAGAACCGACCATTTGTGGTCCTCCAATGACTACTCGTGGAGCCATGGTGGCGATAGATTTTTGACCTTGGTTCACAGGCACTCCAGGTCTCATATTTAGAATTTGTACATTTGCAGACATCAAGGGTGATCCGCCTACTAAAGCCTGTTGTCCCGTTGCCACTTGTTTACCTAGAGTCATGACTGTAGGAACTGTTGCATTTGAAACTGTCATTTGGCTCATAGCAGGATTTGTATTCAAAGGCACTGAAACGACACCAGCGGTTACCGAACTTGAGTTTGTGCTTTTGATAACGATTGATGGTTGAGATTTATTGACAACACTCTGTGTTGTTTGTAACACATTTTGTTGTGTTAGAGGAACTAGCCCATTCTGTACTGTTTGCGCGGGATATAGACGATTATTAATTACTTGATTGCCTTGTTGATAAACTAACTTAACGTTTTCATTGGCTTTTTGTGCATTTGTTTGCGTAATATTAGTTCCTGTTTGGTTAATAAATGTATTCTGTACTATTCCTTGGGCAGTGACCACTGTATGAGTTGCATTTGTATTCACTGCACTACTTTGCAAACTGTTTGTCGATATACATTTATTCACGTCGGCATTAAATAGAACATTGATTGTTTCACCATTGGCTACACTATGTTTTTGTACGGGCACTGAGGAGCCCCCGTTAGAAATCGAGCTGTTTTGATTGCTCGCACTCGTCGCAATATGACCTCCACCGGGAAGCGAAGGCGTATTTGTTACTAATTGTGTTTCTAGCGAACCCACTATCGCATTTACAGCAGATTCGTCAACATCTGTGCTAAGAGCTTCCTCGAGAAACTTAGCTGACGCCATTTTCTGCCGAGAGCCAACTGTAAACTGAACGGCGCATGCCCAATCGACAAACTCCCATAGTGCATCGCTTTCGACTTGACGAGATCACATTCCGTCTCGCATTGAGCGATGAGACAGCTATCAACGTTCAACAAGCATCGCTCGGCGCGATCGCCTATGGCAACACTGACCACACTGCCGCTCATTGCGTGACGTTAACCATGGGAATGATTTTGGTATTTTCTTCTTCACGCGCTGCGTTTGTAAGTACATGACCTGCACATGAAACAGATATATTGCAGAAAATACACGTGGTTTCATCAAATGAATCTATATTTTTAAGCAAATGTTTACACGTAAATATTGTTTTTGTTTATTTTTCTACTTTTTTATCTAATACTTTATTTGTTATGCGATTTTAATTTCGCCTGGTTGACGGATTTTTCAAAATCTGCTATGGGTTGATTTGAATCAGGCGAAATTTAAAATCTATGCATTCTTGTTTTATAAAAATATGTAAACATATTGTAGGAATGTGCTAAATTTTGTTATCATTAGTTTTTTGTAAACTATTTTTGTTTGGAACTCAGAATTCATCAGAATGTTTATACTGATGGAATATTTTAAAATTTTTCAATAAATTCGCTTTGATGCATACACATGAGTGCACTATTCATATAAATTTATCAAATGGTAATATAATAATGCATCATTAACAATTATAAAACTTATTGAAACAAAATTTTTAATTCCATGAAATAGTATACCAAATAAAAAATTAAAACTACAAAAAAACTAGTTATTTTGGTATTTAGCCTTGAGGCAAGTTACATGAACTTCCCGATATGTGTAAATAATCGACTTAATCAATAAATAATAAATTAATTTATGAGTGATTATAAGTATTCCCAGTGGATTTATTACACATCATTGCAAACGAACGAACGAACACGTTAACTCAGAATATTTTCTAAAAACAAATTTTCAAAAATCAATAATTTTAAAATAATTATAATTGAACCAGTTTCCGTAGGACTTTAATGGTTTACTATGTTCAAGACCAAGTACACTATCGTTATACTAACTAAATCATCTAATTTTATTTTTACTTACAACTAAAAACTTACAACTAAAAATATTAAATAAATAATATTAAATAAAAAATATTAAATGGAAAATACTAACTGAAAACTTAATCACACATTTACCTAATGATTTGGAAAATAAACACATTCTCCGGCAAAAATGCACATTCACCAAAAGTACACATTTACTTTTTATTTATTTGATTAAACCGTAATGTATTAACCAGGAAATCCCTACAGGTGCACTCTAGAGTGCAATTTTGAATATTGCATGGCTATAATTGTAAAAAAGGAAATAAAATTTAACCTAATTACTTACGCTTAGCCAACTTTATAAATGCCATAGGAATGAAAAAAAAATTAAACAAAATATTAACATTTTAATATCGTAATGTGTACATAATTTAACAAATCAGGTATATTTTATAAAAAGTACTAAAGTATTCTGTATCACATATAGTTATTAGCTATTCTATTATTTATACCCTTGGTTTATTTTTTGCAAAACCACCAAATAATACCAGCAACGCCAATAACAGCTCCAACTCCTACTAACGTCCACGTGACCGCATCAGCAATAAGTAATTTATCAAATAAACTTTCATTGAGTAAGTCAAGATTCTCGTCATTCAGTATTATTCCCTAAAATTGAGAAAAGTAAAAGTGGTACAGTAACAATCTATATACAAGATAGTCATAGAACTATTTTTTTTTTCAAATTAATTGTAGAACTAAGTATTTATTATTTTCCTCACCTCATCGACCCACATAATTGGAACCAGCGCAGTGGTCAAGTTTTCAGTAAATTTCAAATTCTTGATTGGACGAATGAACATGTTAAACTGAACTCTTTTCGATCCTTTAATCGGAGTTCCAGTATGCTGAAATTTAATTGTATTCATAATTAGAAAATATTTCAAAAACTTTGCATTTTTAGAATGTTATCTTACCGGTTCCACTTCAATAAAAGTTCCATGTTCTTCACTACTTGTGTCATTTCTTAACCCATCAACTGTATCCTTATAAATTTGATCGGCATTCATAAAATGTGGATGTGTTAGAACCACTGGAGCTTCTACAAAGTAATTATAATATGAGCAAGTTATATTCATAGTTAAATTGTAAGAATAGACCAAGCTTTCACTGAAATAGATGAAGAAAAACAACATATTTTTAATTTTTTTATATATTTTAACTCTAAAAATAACAATTAACATAATTCATTTTCATTATAAAAAAACAAATTCACAGTGTAATAATTTATCAGTTCTTATAACAAAATGCAATAAAATTTTGCACATGCCACTTATTAACTTCTCTCTGGTGTAGAAGATGTAGGTAACATTAAATTCAACATCGTTAACTTTAAATTCACTTTTTAAGCAAAGTTTACAACAATAATTTGCATTTCACTTGGTATTAAACAAAGCTTTCTGTTTTTTGGCATTCTGCATATTGCGTTCATTAATAATATTTTCTTTGTGAATTTGGTGAACTTGTTTTTTTCTGAGATTTTGGTGAAGAAACACTGGTGAATCTGTTCGTAGTGGAAGAAGGATAAATCGTTGGATAAGTGAAAATATCCGTAAATCTACCAAATTTTATCACTGGCCTCACTGTAGTAGTAGTAATGCTTAAAGGTTTTGGTTTAAATATATTTGTATTTGTATTTTTATTCTGCTGGAAATTATATGAAAAACCTGTTGATGTTCTATGATATGTGCTGGTTGTTCCCTTATTGTAATATCCAAAAGATGTAGACGGTGTACTCCTGACAGTGTTCACCTTAGAATAAGTGCTTTGAGTTGGTTGAATATTTTGAAAAGCCAGTGTCTGCTTTTGATCATAAATTTGATATGATTTTCTAGTTGTAAACGTGCTTTGAGTAGGTATCGTATAACGATCATTAGGTTTTGTATAGTAGACATGATTATAATTTGGATAAGAAGATGAAGGGCTTTTCGTTGAATGAGCACTATTAAATGAGAATCCAGTAAATTTTGAAGTATTACTCTTTGTTGTATAGTAATTTTTGGAAGTACCAGATTGCTTAGAGAATGGCGTTTGTGTAGGTTGTATTTTACTAGTATATCGAGAAAAATCATACGTCGAATGTCTAGTGGGAATGGTATGCCTGTGATGAGATGTCGTTGAAAATGTACTTTGAGTAGGTCTTAAGCTATTTTGAAAATAGCTTGTGGAACTTTTGGTTGGATAATTTTGATTACTATGCCTATGATGAGAAGTTGTTGAAAATGTACTTTGAGTGGGCCTTAAGCTATTTTGATAATAGCTCGTAGAACTTTTAGTTGGATAATTTTGATTATAAAGTTGATTACTATGCCTATGATGAGAAGTTGTTGAAAATGTACTTTGAGTGGGCGTTAAGCTATTTTGATAATAGCTCGTAGAACTTTTAGTTGGATAATTTTGATTATAAAATTGGTTAGTGGGAGAATTATACTGAGAATACACATTTTTGTTTTTAAATGGGACAGAAGTTGGCTGTACGTGTGATGTCGTTTGATAGTTAAAGTATATGTTGGAGTTTGAGAAAATGATGAATAAGTCTTTTTTGGCGTAGTCGGGTGATAATGAGTTTGTGAATACTGATTATAATTTGTGTAATGTTTCTTTGTTGATTTATTATCGTGGTAATTGTAAGTCGGTTCAGGTGTAATAGATTGTACAGTATTTGTTGTCGGATGCTTTTTGAAGTAGTTAGCCAGGAATAAATTGTTAGATAAATCCAATGTGCTCTGATAATTTCTGGTGACTGCAGAACTTGGAGTTTTATACGTTGAATAATATCTCGCAGTGTCGTTAACAATTTCATCAACTTCGTATTTTTGAATAATTTGCGGTTCGTAACCTCCAGAAATAGGTTTATCAAAGCAGCCTTCTAAGTATTTCTTTGACTTTGTGCCTTTACAGTATGCGCCGTATACTGCCCATGCAGTAAAACCATCTCCAGACAGTCGCGTATGTTCCTGATAAATTCGTCTTACACAAGCCAAATCATCTCGAATATCCGAGTCTTCTAAATCAGAACAGGAAATTGAACATGCTTTTCCTGGACCATCTTTGGAGCACCAATAAAGATCGCTGATTTGGAACAGCCCGTGATCTTCACTTCCATCCCCGTTCAGGCGACCGATGGCGGAGGTATCATAAGAACTTTCGTGTTGGGCAATGCATACCCATGTTGATAATTCGTCCTTTGGTATTTTGTGTTTGGATAACAATTCTCTTGCCAATTCGCATCTATTGTATATTTTTGCTGAGATTTCACACACTATTAATGCATATACCACCAACTTTATTAAAATATTCATAGCCATCTTTATGATTATAATAAATAATAATTTAGAAGCAGATTATTTTAATTTTAATCACATTAATCTAGTCTTTTAATGTGAAGTTTTTGAATTAATCTTTATTCAGATAATTTTTACAACTTCAGACACTAATTAATTATCTTAATTACAATTTCAAATTCATTTTTTAAATTTATTTGCATGTTCTTGTAATAAGACACTTGTAAAGAGTAGTGATAATAGCGTTCAATAAAGTTCAAATCCATCAGCACGCAAATGGTTATTATAATAGAATCTTATAACACCTATTATTTATAGCGATGATAAAAATTCTGATATTATTGATAATTTAAACAAAACTTTCGCTTTTCATGTGTCAAGTTCAAAACTGGTTGTGCTGCTCATGTGGAGATGAGCAGCGTTATATAGGCTTTCTTGATCATCAAATATAAGCCACATTCACAATAAATATTTGTTGAAATTGTGATTATTGAGATTCTACTAATAAGGATGTTTGGAACAATAATTTTGTACATCATTATAAAAATGAATCTAATTATCAGCAGGAATTCAAGAATTCTATGGATAGACTACAATTCTTAGGAGGAATTTAGTTTTATGGTAATGAGGTACGAGATACCAATCACGAAATAAAAGCTACTCTTACAATGATAACATCAAAATAATTAGTAGTAGATATTTTGTGAGTCGCAAAACTATAGAAAATACTAATAATTCTGAATTATAAGTTTAGAATGTATTCAGTTGAATTCTTGAATCATGTTATGAGAATGTGCATTATGGTAGAATATTTTGTAAACATCACAAACAATTACTAAAGCTTTAAAGTTGTGTATTAAAGCACATAATTTGCTTTGTTATATTTGATATTTGGATATCAATCTTTATTTTCCAATGAATGAAAACTATAGTATATAAACGCAAATCCTATAGGATGTTAATCGAAACGTATGGATGAACATTTTTATTAAATTTTTATTGGTGTAACGACCAATCATTAGAACTTAACTCGACTCATATATAAAAAAATCGACAACCTGCGTTTTAATATATTTATTTTCCCCTGATTTGAAACTATGGTGCACTCTATTTTTTGATCAACAGTTACTTTTATTTAACTCATTTTTATATTGTGTTGTGTAACTGCAATCACATTTAAATAAGTAACTTACAAAAGTTCCAGGAAATAGTAACAAAAATAATCAACAAATAAAATTAATAAGATGTTTGTCAATTTTTAATAATTGAAGACTTGAACGCACCTTCAATATTTGTGATTTATTGGTGCGGGTTGGTGACCCATAGTCATTTCACGATCAAGATTAATTATAATGAATATTATAGGTAAATGACTTAATCCGATGAAATATTATATAATCAAAACCAAATTTTGGGTAATTAATGATGATCAAGAAATAAAAAAGGTTTTTTAATAGGCATTACATTATTCGTATTGAGGTTTCATCTTTTTATTTTATTTGATAAAACTATTAAATTTGCCTGTTATCTTTGACATTATCTACAGATTAGTTGTCTTAAAAATTGAAGAAGTCAATAATTAATAAAATAACAATGCTTTCTAATATAAAAACAGAATAAATTTGATTCTAACAATCACATGAGCGCATGCATATATTAATGACAGGTAATATTATCATGTATGTAAGTATAATCTTTATTTAAAACATATGCCTCGATTATTATGTCCAGATTTCAAGGTGATCAACACTAAATTTAAACAGGTGTGATATGGAATCACAGTAATCACATACCTATATAAATATAAAAATTAGAATATCTCTATTTTCATTACTTTAGTAATATTAATTATCGCAAAATGAGTAATCGCTTAAAAATCGTTTTAATCATTTTCTGGAATAAGTTGATGATTCGGTTTAAAAAAAAGGCGCAAAAAACTTGTCAATTTACGTAGACCGGTCCTATCATTTTTCTGTGACAGTTTATAGAATTTTGGACGAACGATTTATGATATTCGCCACGGATATGGGATTTTTTATATGTTGATCAGTTTTAGTTGATCCACGTGTGTTATAAATAAAACACTCTTGATACTCTTATTAGACGTCACGTCTCCGCAATAAATTAGGTTCCAAGACGATGTTGATTTGGGAAAAAGGTCTTAATAATCGTGATTGCTAATTAGAATTAGGACAATTTAAGATGTCTATTAAAGTAAAATAAAATGTATTAGTTATATTTGGTCGATTCTTTATTTAATAATTGCATATCATCAACAACGTCTTGCAATGAAAAGTGCAATGTTAAATTTTAATGTTATTAATTAGTAATCATTATTATTTATCAAAATAAATTAAAAAACGTCATATATGTACATTATTACTAAAATGTCCTTCGAGTGACTTTGAATACATTCCATATATTAGAATAATCTATTTTCTCAAATTATGTTTTGTTCTTTAACTCTTTAAAAAATATTTTGTTTTGATACCTCAGTAAATCTTAATCCGAATTGATCAGACATTCGATTTTAAAGATTTTGGTAAACAAAGTTAATAATTTGCACATTTTTATGCATAATATTTTTAGTCTATTAGTCACGGATATAATTTACGATTATGTGTTTTTTGGAACTGCATCGGTTTTGTTTTTCAAAGAAATATTTAGTAATGTAAAAATCTTCTAAAAAAGACAAGTGGTCGTTAATAAAAACTATTAATGCAATATAAATAATTAATAATGATTATAAATAAGTATCTTTAAGTATTAAATTCACATTTTGTACTATATTTGCTCTCGATTTTTATTTGATGTAAGGACCCAGGCCAAAACTTTTCAAAATGGGCGAAATAAAATACTTTTTATGTAATAATTATTTAAATTGATCAAGAAAATTCAATATCGCTTAAAATCGTGCACTGGCAATAGCAAATTATTGGATAAGAGAGTTAATAAAAAATCATTTCCAACAAAAAAAAACTACGTTGCATATTTTACTATAGGAATCTGAATGTGCATATTTATTTAAAATATTCTAACAACGTTTGCAAGTAATATAAAATGCCATTTATATACATAAAGTAACATTCGAAAAGACTGCGTGAATGGCTTTTAGTATTTGCGATCAATGACTTCCATATAAGTAATGAGAAATTATGATGCATCTGAATTACAATTATACGAAAAATATAATTAAAGTCAAAGCTAAATTTGTTTACTTAAGTCTTGGACGGAGAAATAAGTAGACGATAACTAATTCTTTCTCGACTAAAAATTTAAATCCGTGTTTATATGTCACCATATGAACTTGAATATACGACTGTATCCATACAGGAAAAATAGTTGTGCATGTATTATTAGATTAAGAGTGGTATAGAAAACCTTTTGCCCAGTTTTATATCAAATGACTTCCGACAAGATTTCATGTAAATGTTCGCATAAATTGAAGTGCGAATCCACTTTGTGATACATGTGCCTTCTGACGATTTTGAAGTGTCTTTCGAGAAGTTTTTAGATAATCGATTTGGGGCCAAAGTTCAAAATCAAATATGCAAACACTCAAAATTCTCTTGCCTTAGGGCTATTAAAGATGACGAGCAACTGACAAATATCAAACTCAATTGGCAAATGGTGACAAATTTGTCAATTAATTACTAATTTAATATAACATTATAAAATGAACTTTGCATTTTTTATTATTTTCATAATTAACTTTAGTCTAATTATTGCAATATACTGAAATTTCCACAGTGAATTCAATTAGTTAAAAAAAAACATTTTATAGTTATATTTATAAGTTATTCATGTATTATATGTCGATACGCATAATGAATATTTAAATCAGATCCTATTAGCAACTTCTCAGAAATGTATTCTGATCATCTTCATTCGTAAAAGTGCTTTTTTTATATATAAAATGTTTTATAGGTAAATTTTACCAACAGCTATAAATCAAAGCAAGAATATCAATTATATTTGATTTTATTTCTAAAATTTGGCAGGATTCGAATCGAAAGATCAACGAGTTGCGCAAAAACCTGTTTTTTAATAACGTAATTAAAAACTTATTTAAGTAAGAAGAAGTTTGAAAATCATTATTGTAATATTTTGTTTAATTTATGGATATTAATTGTATTCCTAGCATCATGAATAATTAATACAAAATTAATTTTTAATACAAAACGTATGCGTATTGATTTGCTAAAATGTTAAAATATGATATGCTCTATATAGAACAAAAATTATTTATGATGTTAGGTAACTATTAGTAGCTATAATTTTAACACAAAATTTAAAAATATTTAAAATTGTAAACTTACTTTGGCATGTGTAGAGTTCTAATGCACCTCCATACAAACAGCCAGTATCTGGATCTGTTATACCTATAAAATATTATAAATGTATAAAAATATAATTTATGACTTTATTCAATTATTCCACACGTTTTGTAACATCAATTGCATAGAGTAAAAAAGTTGATCTATAATATACATTTCAAATTTTATATTTCTATAGAAAGTTATAGAGATAGGCATTTCCTTATCTATGGGCCAACCTTTGGGTTGATAAATTTAGAATAATAATCAAAAAAAATTTATTCTGTTTTATATACAATAATGTATTAAATTGTCCCTTATTTACCTGTTGTTTTACCGAGGCAATAACATTTTTCAGGTTTCACCATGAACGCATCGTTGGCCTCGTATCTGAATGTTTCTATACCATTGAATTCGCGCTTTTCTTTATAATGCACTGATACGGCCCTGCAAAAAATGATAAATTAATAATCGATAGCAAATTTATCTGATCAATATCATGCACAAATTTTTCAAGATATTGAAGTAAATTAATACGGGGCTTTATTGAGTTATATTAGGTTTCGATACCCTGATACAATGATAATTGAAATATGTTATAAGAAATAATAAAGTACAACAATAAGAAATTAATATAAATATGTTATAAGTAATGAGGTGCAAAGAATGTAATTGTATTATACGTAGTTATACATTAATTATATTACTGATGTATTGAGAAAAGAAATAAAATAAATAAGTAGTCAATATAAATATATTATAAGAAATAATGAAATATCTCTACAAGAAATTTGCACATTTTTGGAAATACGCCATGGTTTACTAATGCTAAATAATGAAATATATATTATCTCTATCAAATAGAAATAATTCAACCGTCGGGTTGCGACTTGGTTAGAGAGAGCATCCATTCCAAAAAATATTTTTATATTTAATTTAATGATATTTACCTGCAAATATCCGAATTAAACACCCACATGAAATCGTCCGGCTCTTTGCCATGTCGATAAGGTCTGTACATGGTACTGTCGGTGCCTTGAACTTTATTGCATGTTGAATTACCATCTTTCCAAAGTTTCATATATGTCTCATTGTTCCAAGAAGTAAGTTGACCGACATCTAAAATATCCTTTTTGCCACTGTATATGTTCCACAATCCATCATCGGACGTATTTTTCTATTAATAAAATATTTGTTTAACTAACTAATTAAACATGTATTCAATAATAAATTAATTTCCAAAATGAATATATAAATATATGCATTTATTTTTTGATGGTGAAGGATATATAATAAAATATAGAAACAATACAGGAATCCATCCAATTATTTAGAGAAAGAAACAGTTAGGTTTAAAAATACCTAATAAATATTAGAGACGATTCGTGCTATTATTTGACTCATACATTTAAATAATTAGAAAATAATTAAACTTTAAGTATAAAACCATAATCGCAAAATACAAATATTTTCTGAGTTTATGAACTACATACAATAATACTGAGGTATGAATACCATCATTTTTTAAGTCTAACCGATTTTTTTAAATTGGGTGGATGTCTGAATAAATAGTTTTTCTCAGATTATATATATATATATATATATATATATATATTAATTATATTACTAACATGATTAAAGAAGGAGAAAAGTAGTCCTCTGTCCGTGGTACTTTTCCGAATTGTCTGAGATCCTTGTTTCTCCACCAGGGAACAGACGATGCTAGGTATTGCTGATCGATCGACACAAAACTTGACTCCTTCAAATAAGTATTCCTTGACTGTTGTCTTAATAAACATGGTCTTAGGATTATTGAAAACCTTGTTATAGGCACTTGACATAACTCCTCCTTGGCCTAGCTCTTCAGCAACCATAAATGCTGCCTGAAAAATAAAATAATTGGATAAAATGACAACTTTTTGAATAAATTTTATAAATTTTAGATAAACTCACATTCATAGGAACATATAAAACTTCTATCTCGTCATTTTCTGTTAAGGGTGCTGAAGCAACCGAATCAAATTGAATATTTAATTTTACTCTAAACTCAATTTCTTCATCGTCAGAATGAATTCTGACATCCTTCTTCTCATTTCGCATACTACAAATAATAAAATGAAATAATTTTTCAAGAATTATTTTTATTTATTAATTATTTTTCTATAAATACCTATAAACATAAGGTCCCTTTTCTTCCACTATTGGTTTTGCGCCAGCATGTACTTCATCAGGATTTTTTATATGGAAGAAATATATCTTGTAATGCAGGGGCTGGGGTACTGTCAAAAAACGTTCGAATTGTTCTGTGCCATTCTTCAATATAATTTCCTTCAAATATAACAAAATATATTAGCATATCACCTATTATGAAGATCTGTTCAAATTGGAAAATTTTTGGTTTTGCATCTTCCAAGAATTGGACAATTGCAAAATGATGATGAGAAATACATATAAATATGTTTTTATTAATTTTTGAAAGAAGTTTTTGTTTATACAAAAAATTTAATTTGCTAACTTTATGTTTTCTCGATGTTCAAAGTCATTCTGAATCGTTTGAAACCAAAATTGGGAAAAATATGTGGCAAAATTCCTGAACAAATCTTGATACAAACAAAAAGTATCACTTGGAAATTGTGCTAATTAATTTTTGGTGAAAATCTGCCAGACCATTTCTTCGTAATTCGTAATTGCTAAAGAAATATTTCACAATTTGAAATGCATAGCGGTAAGATTGCTGGTCTTAATGATCATCCTAAAAAATTTTAGGCCTTCAAAAAGTGGTTTAATTAAAAAAATTATTAAAGTGTGGAACCCACTATCTACGTTTTTTAAGAAAAAAAATTTTAAGAAAAATTTCGGTTTCATAATATTATTGCAGTAACATTTGGAGATTAGAGTATCTATAATATCTCATCAGATATTGGACGTCATTGCTGAAACTTTTATCTTTGATTAAATGTAATGATGTGATATTCAGAACAGTGAACAAAAAATAAACAACTTTTTTGATATTGCGTATTAACGGTGATAACGCGATAAATGAGATTACATTATATTTGAGGATTATCTTGGTGTTTTTTATGATAGAGAAATATTTGGCTTTACGTAATTTTAGATTGATTCAATTATTGATTAATATTGTACATTGCACTACTTGATCATAATAAAATTTAATCGGAACTGCGACATCTTAATTTGACTTATATTGGATTTACATAATAATTATATCGTCTTTAATATAATGATAATGAACAATACGATACAAGCTAAACAGCTTTTTTCCACATATCAGTATGTAATAATCTCGCATTCAAATTTTTTTAACACAAACTAAGAAATAACATCTCACTCCATTAAATTATATAAATATTTAATTTCCAATAAGTATTATTTTCTGTTAATAACATAACTTTTTTTATCATTGTGATAGGTAAGAATAAAATTCGTGAAACAACTTCTCACCTTCAACCTTTTTTATAATACATCTGAATAATGGAATGATGAACAGTTTCGTCAAATAACATACAGAAGAACCCTGTTAAGACGATTTCTGTACTCTGAAACGCTGTCTCGCCTAAGACGAGTTTTTAATCCAGTCTCTAAAAAATCGTCTTAACGGGGTTCTATTATACTTAAAAAAACATCTGATAAATCTTTACCCTAATACATAAATATATCTCAAACCAAGTCAATATTTTCATACATACACAAATATAAACTGTAATATTAATCTGTAAAACCAAATATTAAATATTATTTTCATTTAATTAATTAATTACCTCTTCTATTTTATCATCAATAATTGGAGGAATCACAGCAAAAATTAAAACTAGTCCTAAAATAAATAATAAAACACCCACCCCAGAAATTATGAGTGAACAATATCGCTTCATTGTTAAAAATTGATTTTTTTAGCAAGATTTGTACAAGTATAAACTATGAACTAGCATCTATAATAAATATTTTTTCTATTATAAAAAACTTAAAAACACTTCTTCACTGCTACGTGTACTTTTCAAAAGTATAAATTGCTAATTTATATTACAATTAAACACTTATTGCCACGTGCGTTCTAATTGAATTCTTGTACAGAACTGAAAAAAGGCTACTGGTGCATAATCTCTAAAATAATTGCTACTGATATATAAAATGATAAACATATAAAAATTGTATAAGATGATACCTTGTCACAAGGTTTAATTTAATGTTATCAACAATATTCAAAAATAAAGATGAACACAATATAATTGAAATTGTAATTATGGTACTTGGAAAAGATTACTTACTTAAAAGTGCTATTAATATTATTAATAACTTGGGAATTGTTTCAGCTTCATCACATGTTTCAGCTTTTGACTCCAGAATAGTTTTGAAACTATATTGAGACATAATTCAAATTCTTCTCTTCGAATGTTAGTCGTTTTTTGTCTTGTTTTATCTATAAAAGTTTGCAATTTATTAAAGTATCTATTAACATAAAATAAATTTGGAGACTATTATTATATCAAAGTCTGATCTTAGTTATAATATTTCGTATTTTTACCTTCCCAAAGAAAAACTTCGTTATGAACAGAAATCGTACTTGCTGATGTTATGTTTACTGAATCCTTTGACATTTTAAGTTATTCTTAATCCTTTGAGACCTAAATTAGAAAAAGTAAGTGTGTGTGTATGTATGTATTGCGTTGATTAGTTTTACGAAAAGATCGGCCGAGTCGTTTTTTTACAATTAGCAGAATAATGCAAAATTATCTGCCCAAAAATTCTTGAATCGATATTTTAAATTTAAAAACTGTTTGAAAGATATCAGTCAGCGATCGTGCCGAAATTTTTTTGGTTAAGATTATCCAGGCCGTTTTTTTAACGCGGGTATAGATTTCATGATATAAACAAGCATTCTAAAATATTATAGTTCTATAAAAAGTGGTTCAAATATAAAAATTTATTAAAGTTTGGAATTATATGGGACGCGCTTTTAGGACATACAATCGCATGAAAGATAACAATATAAAGTTATTTTGTAAATTAATTTTCATATTTTTCTACAACTTTGAGTACTTAAAAAAAAATTACTTTTTATAAATATTAAAAAATTCATAAAGAATGAATTTGAAGTTTATAACCAATTTTTATATGTACCCAAGTTCATTCAATACGATATATTTATATGTCCTTACATCTAATAATTTTTATTTTAATTTAAAGTGTATTGTAATATCTACGTTTATATAAATGCATATCATATCACTTACATATAAAATATTATTAGTTTTATTTATTTATCTTCTAATCAAGATCATGTTCATAAATAAAAAAGTATAAATCATGATCATGTTCTTGACAGATGTTCTGAAGATATAACGTGCATAGTTTCAAAACGTTGACAATATATAATAATTCTTAACAATTTTTTGGTTTGTTATTACCTCTTTTGGATTCCTTGTTCGAAGTTCTACACAAAATATATAAACCGTTATTTAGGCTACTAAATGCATTCAAATGTACTGGCAAAGTTTTGAACAGAACCCACGAAAAGGATTAACATGGACGCCATTGATTTCACATTTTACCACTAGTAACGCTAGTGAAGTTCGTTTCAGTCAATTCAAATTGCCGAAACAGTTTGACCAGCTGAGGCGCGAATTTCAAAATATGACGTTGAGTGTATTACGCCGTAATGTGTAAATTCTATAGATAGAATTCACTAATTGAATTAGTTTTAAAATATGTTAATATGATCATTGTATATCAATGTTCATTTTATAGTATAGTAACAAAACAGCACATGTTTTTGATTTACTAAAAAAAACATACATGACCTTAGTCACTTTTGACTATTTATGATTTTGACATTTCTAGATGTGATAATCGCAATGAACGTCATTCAATCTATATTCGCAATAAAATTAACTGTATTTATTTTTTGATTTGTCGGGTAGCTGAGAATTACTGTAAAGTATATTGTTCAATATTTTGAAAATTCATTATAACTAGTCATCTGTCAGACATGCAGGAATCTGTTGATAGTGAAGAAAATACAGAAATTAACAATGATTCAAGTTGTGACAATTCAGTTCGAGCTAGATCTCCTGAAATTCCCGAAAGGGCTAGTAAAATACTTAAAAATGATAGCTATTCTGATTGCGAAGAGCATATCAATTTGGATGAATCTCCCAGTGAACCTACCTCATTAAGTATAAAAATATATAACCAACTCTATTACATTTCTTATATTACGTAGTTTATTAATAGCAAAAGCAAGACTAAGTTTCCTCTATTATCAGTAAATTTTAGGGAAGCTTTTTAAATGACAAAATGTATTTGATTTTTCAGATGACAAGTTTTCAATGGTTAAAGAAGATAGTGGATTTGTAGATAAATTAAGTGTAAGCAGTGGTGATGCTGTTCCAACAGCCGAGGTTTCAGAAAGTTTTAATAATAATAAAGAATTTCGAGATGCAATATCATCTCCTAACAAAAAGAGTCCAGCAAATAGTTTGTTTCCTTCAGATGTTTCTTTTCCTAAAAATTCACCGCAATTGAAAAGAAGAAATTATCGTAAACGTTCTATGATAGATATGGATTCTGATGAAGATTGTGATAATTTGGAATCAACAACAACTAATGACTGTATGGTGGATGATCATGAAGATGCTAACAGTGCTACAGCCGTTGATGACGATAGTACCCTTGAGGAAGATAATATAATGGATTCATATTTTGATAGTGAAGATAGTAGCGATGACAGTAGTGATTTTGATGTTCATCGTGAACTAAAATATCAACGAGAGAATGACAATGTTGTACCATTGGTGTTATTGAAACCAAAACCTAAGTGAGTGTTACCTGAGTTATATTTGTTTTTAATCCAACTGTGAATTGAAATATTGGTGCAAATTTCTTGCTCTGTATAATTATTTAGTAATAGTGAATACGTTTATAATTACAGGCATAATTGGCAAGCTGTTCCAGAAATTTTAAACCGGCCTTATGGTTTAGTACCTTCTCAGAACCAAAAGCCTAAAAGATCATGGGGTTATAAACAATTTCAAGACAGGCAAGTCTGACTTTATGTAGCAACTTATAAATTGATCCTATTCTTATTGTTTTTATTATATATTTCATCACAGGTATTACAGCTCTCTTCATGCTGTTCAACGTTTAGAATTAATGTATAAATTAGAAGCTCATGAAAGTTGTGTCAACAGCCTTGGATTTAATAAATCTGGTAATTTTTATTAAAACACTTCTTTGAGGAATTAATGCAATATAAGTAGTACGTATGAATATATTGTTATACAGGTAGTTTATTGGCATCTGGTTCAGATGATTTGTTTATACACATCTGGGATTGGACTATAGGCCGAAAGGCTACGTCTTTCAAAAGTGGACACCGAAGTAATGTCTTTCAATCTAAATTTTTGCCTTTTGCGGGTGATATTCATATAGCCTCCAGTGCTAGAGATGGACAGGTGCTGTTTTTACTATTTACCATTTCTTACACATACCAGTTGTTTATTTAATAATTTCCAATTTTTATTTATGCCATTAGTTTTATCATTTACATAATCTGATAATATGATCTGTGAAGTTGTTTTACTAATTTAGAACTTTGTTTATTTCACATTATATATTTCAGTCGAGGATATAGATACCTGACTAGGAGATTTTTATTAAAATGGTAAATATTAATTTTCTCAGGTTCGTCTATCAATATTGTCACCAGCTGGTGAATTAATCTCTTCTCGTCACTTGTGTCAGCATCGTGGAATGGTGAATAAGATATCCTTAGTATCAGATCAACCACATATTATACTTAGTGCTGGAGATGATGGTGTAGTAATATCTACTGATATTAGAGATCCCGTGCCAAACAAGTAAGTAGAAAGAATATAAAATTATGAGAAGCTTTATTATAATTGATAATATTTTTAACTATATTCAAATTTGTTTTGAAATATTCTACAGTTGCTTACTTCAAATGTTTAGTTTGAATTCCTGGATAACCATTGTTTACACTTTTGTTTTTTTAATCTAGAATAGCAAAAGTAAAAAATGGTTCTGAGAAGGTATCGTTATACTCAATAAACTGCCACCCAATGTTAGGACATGAATTTGTTTTAGGCAGTAATGATCACTATGTTAGAATTTATGATACTCGCAATACACGTGTTGCTCAAGCTAAATTTAAACCAGCTTCTGAAACTAAACGTCTTGATAAGGTATCAAATTAAATATTTACTTATTAAAATTGAATTAAACTAAATATATACTTTTATTTCACTACTTATAGAAACCTGATCGAAATGCGATTTATACTACTGCAGTCATCTATAATTACAATGGGCGTGAAATATTAGCATCTTATACTGATGATAATCTATACCTATTTAGTAACGATCCAACAACAATACAAAATATTAGTAGTTCTTCTAAGGAAACTGAACGTGATTATATTGGTTGTTATACTGGACACAAAAATCAAGCTACAATAAAAAGTTGCAACTTTTTTGGGCCTCATTCAGAGTATATAGTTAGCGGTTCTGATTGTAGTAAGTTAATTTCAACATTTATTCTATAAATGATATTTATTTCATTTAGTATTGTCAATATTATTGGTAAAAAAGCATGGATAAATATTTATTATTTCCCAAATTTTAAATTATATTATTTTAATTTATAATTGCCAATTCATTTAGTGTTTAAACATTAATTTGATGAACTTATTTGTTCTGTATTTACTAAAATAATTTTAACACAAATACAAATTATTTTATACCTTTCATGAACCATATTAATTTTCTTAGGTTATTGTTATATTTGGGAAAAAAAGACTGAGTCAATTGTGCAATGGTTTAGAGCTGATGAAAGTGGAGTGGTATTTATACAAATTTATATAGAAATATGGCCTAATCATGATTTAAATTTTGTTATATTCTGGTAATTTCTCAGGTTAATTGTATGGAACCTCATCCTCATATACCAATTTTAGCAACAAGTGGTCTAGATAATGATGTAAAAATTTGGGTTCCTTCTAAAGAAGAGGTAATAATTACTATAAGTTACATTTTATATTATGATATTTTCTAATGTATAAAAAATAGCCAAATCCGATGGAAGAAATGAAAACTGTTGTGCGACAGAATAAAGATAGGCGATATTCATATGATCATACAGTTGGAAGGGATACCATTGATGGGCAAATGCTTTGGATGTTTTTGACCCATATCAATGTATGTAATACAAAATTAGATATATTTTTTAAACACATCATTACAACTGCATATACTTGAAATATATCTAATATATAATTATTTTAATTTAATAAATTAATTTATAAAGCAGAACGTTCACAGTACCTCTCATAGCGACAGTTCTGATGATGATCTGCCAAGATCTGGGGAAATGCCATGCTCTCCTTCATAAAGATTAACTATTTACTCTACTAATTAAAATATATATTTATTTAAAATGAGTTTAGTTTGTTCTAAGAGTGTACATCTTGTGTTAGGATAGGATATCAATTCATAGTTTAAAATTTATAAAATAAATAAATATATAATATATATATATATATATATATATAAACAAATCAAACTTTTTATCAAATTTAATTATAGCTAAAACTAATTACACAAATAACTATGAAATGTAAAAAATAGAAAGCAAGTAACTTTTTAGAAATCTTTATTCGATTTTTATGAATCAACACAGACTTTTAAATAACTTAATTAATTTTTAATTAAAATTAATAAATACTATTATCATAAAAACACCGTTCATTTAAAGTATTATAGATTTATTTTTTTATTGAGTAAAGAAGAAAAAGATTCCCATGAATTAAAATTTTATTTAAATTTTAAATATAGCTATATACAAAGATAAAAAATCTTCATTTCTATATAACTATATTTCTTTCAATTTTCTCTTTTATTTTCTTTTCATTCTTAGTATTCATCTACGCATTCTGCGCCACAATCAGGTTCACAACCAGTACCGACTTCTTCATAATCTCTTTCGAGACCAGCAAGATCTGTTCTAGCCTCGGAAAATTCTCCTTCCTCCATTCCTTCACCTACATACCAGTGTACCTAGAAAAATGGATATTTTATTTTAACAAGTGTGTACATATAATATTTCATAAATAACGATTTATTTTTGAAAAATCGAACTTGCTCTTGAACAATGTTAAATTAATAATACAAAATTTATGCGTATATATGTGTACATTGGTGTACATCTATTTTTTGTTACTTACAAATGCTCTTTTACAGTACATAAGATCAAATTGGTGATCTAATCGTGCCCAAGCTTCTGCTACCGCGGTTGTATTAGACATCATGCATACTGCACGTTGAACACGTGCCAAATCACCACCAGGAACAACAGTAGGTGGTTGATAATTCATTCCAATCTGCAAACAAACAAGCAAAGGTTTGATTAGAAATAATTTTCATATATTAGCTTCGAGATAAGAATATAACATTTTACCTTAAAACCAGTCGGGCACCAATCAACAAACTGAATACTTCTTTTAGATTTAATCGCGCAAATTGTAGCGTTTACATCTTTCGGTACCACATCTCCTCGAAATAGCAAACAGCAAGCCATATATTTTCCGTGCCTGGGATCGCATTTTACCAACTGATTTGCAGGTTCAAAACAAGCACTTGTTATTTCATATGTGCTTAAAGTTTCGTGATAGGCTTTTTCTGCTGATATAATAGGGGCGTATGTGGATAGTGGAAAATGAATTCTGGGATAAGGCACCAGATTTGTCTGGAATTCAAGGAGATCCACATTTGCTGCACCGTCGAATCTCAAGGATGCTGTCATAGCGGACACTGCCTGGGCTAGAAGGCGATTTAAATTGGTATATGTTGGTCGTTCAATGTCCAAGTTTCTCCTGAAAATTTAGAAAAAGTATATTGGTAGATCATAATTAAGAGGTTGTTACTTCAGTTGACGTTTTTCTTGGGCATCAAAAATAGTTTATTAGTTTCCAAATTGTTACTTTCAATTAGAGTTAGAATTTACCTGCAGACGTCGTAAAGGGCTTCATTATCGGCCATAAATGCACAATCCGCAAACTCCATCGTTGTGTGGATAGTGAGCATTGCATTATAAGGTTCTACAACAGCTGTCGATATGCAGGGCGATGGAATAATCGGGAATTGTAGTTTAGATTTTTTACCATAATCCAACGAAAGACGTTCCAACATTAGAGATGCAAAGCCTGAACCGGTACCTCCCCCGAAGGAATGGAAAATGAGAAATCCCTGAAAAATCCATTAATAACAATAAATTTACTTATTATATTATCATAAGTTGAATGATAATGTTAGACCAATATAACTATTTTACTTGTTTCAGCCGCAATAGACATGTTTCAGTCGATTGAATTAATTAATATCATATTGACCTGCAAACCACAACACTGGTCAGCCAGTTTCCTTATCCTGTCCAGAACAAGGTCAACCATCTCCTTTCCAACAGTATAATGACCACGTGCATAATTGTTAGCTGCATCTTCCTTCCCAGAGATCAATTGTTCAGGATGAAAGAGTTGCCTGTACGTTCCAGTTCGAACTTCGTCTAGATGAGTAATATATAATTATGTAAATTGAATAGAAATAGAAAATTGAATAAAAATAGAAAATTGAATAAAATAGGTGGTTATATAAAATTTTGAACCGTTAATTTTGAAAAAATCTTTTGATTTTCACTAGAAACTTATCAATGCATATATAACAATTGATATTTCAAATGATCAAAGACTGTTGAATATTTTAAAAATACCTAAAAATATTATACTAGTAATGATAACCTATGAATTAAGGGCGAATTCTGAGCTCGTAAAAGGGATAACAATAATTTTACCATATTTTTTTTACAAGTAGGAAATATAGATAGCAATATGTTTCCAAGTGAAAATAGCCCTTGCCCGGCATTGCTGCACCAATAAAATGTCAGCCCTATTAGATTAATTCTAATAACAAAAATCATCAAATATGGGTGGATTAACCATTGGGTTACCATCTAAAAATACGAAGTAAGGAGAAGTTTCAGTCCAACAGCTCATAGGACGTAAGGTTCTGATTGCTGGTAAAAAATAAAAACAAAAAAAATTATAATTATTGTTTTGAGAATACAAAAAATAATAAAAAATAGTCGCAAGGTTTTAATTCTAGAAGGTGATGAAGCGGGGGCATTTTCAAAAATTGGCACCTGACCATACACATGATTTTATCCTCAAAATAATCTGAAGACAAAAATGTATATTTAATTTAGAATAATGTCGCAGTCGTATGAACTACAAACATGTTATTTTTTTCAGATTTGCGTCATATGAACAAGAACTACGAATTTTCAACACTTGCAAGGTCATGTATTGTACTATTCAGTTGCATTTCGGCACTTGAGCATCAAACATCGTGTGCTTATGCATCGAGCCTTTGTTTACTTTCGGCAAATTCGTGCAAATTGTGAAACACGCTTGGGTCGGCTTTGTCTAGCTTGGCATTTTATCATCGACATACATTTGTGATGTGAGTATTATTATTATTACATTTATTTTGTATCTATTTTAATGAAAGTACGTACAAAATATTAAACAGAAAATGATGTAAAGACCCAAGCTTCTGGATGTAGCTATGTTTGCATATAGTTAATATCCTTTTACGTATTTATTTAAACTCGTGAAATCACCGAATGGCGCTAACCACAAGTTTTGTGGTTTTACAAGTCTATCTTTTCTTTTCATCTCATATCAAGTTTTTGTCGTAACTTTATTTCAAACGCTTATGTCGCAGTTCTATAATATTTTAGTATTTTATTTCACACTATGAAATTTAACGTCATACAAAGTTTTATCAGAATTGACAAAAAAATTTCAACATTTTCTTACGAAAAAACGGACCGGCTGATCTTTACCAAACCCCGGTTGGTAAGCGGTTCTCAACCAATACCTTTAGAACTGTTTTTGAATTTTTAAAATCGGTCCAAGATTGTGGGTTGAAACGTGGACGAAAAATTTTACAAATTTCTGTTTACCACGACGAAAAACGGCTTGGTTTATAGTCTATATAGTATAGGAAAAACATTTGATTAAGTCGATTATTTACATATATGTGGAAGTTCATCCATATCGTCTTAAGGCAAAATATAACATACTCCCAGTTCTATTTTAAATTTTCTTTTATTATTCCTTTACCTATTACTGTGGGTTCCAAGTCCACCATGACCGCTCGAGGAACATGTTTACCTGCTCCAGTTTCACTGAAAAAGGTGCTAAAAGATTCGTCCATTCCGGAATATGGTGAACAGGCGCAGGGCATATTTCCATCGGGCTGAATTCCATGTTCCAAACAATAAAGTTCCCAACACGCGTTTCCAATTTGGACACCTCCCTGTCCAACATGTACTGACAAGCATTCCCGCTGAAATATAAAAAATAACAAATCATGTCTATAAAAAAAAATTATAAAAATTAATAAAATTTTAAGCTATTATTAGGCTAAGCTTTTGTTTGTGTGAGAATATTTATGAAAATGTGAACTTACTGTCATTTTAACGAATTTTTCTTATTTATTGCAGAAACAGCGAAAATGTCCTTCCCAGGATCTAGAAGTGAATAAGTTAATAAGTGAATAACAGGACCAGACATCGCAAAGTGGTAAGTCAATTTTCCCTTAATATTTTTCAAACTTACCTTAAATATATCGCCAAATAATTGGGAATTTAGAATAGATTAATTTCGAAGAAATAATGATGAATTAGTAAATTTCTTCCCGAAATAATCCCACCCTTTTTAAAGTTTTAACAATTTTACCCCAAAGTAAAATTATGCTCTAAATCATTGCTCAAAAAATATAAAAACAAAATTTTAGAAAACCCCAAAGGTTACTATAATTTCGCCAAAAAACAAATTTTTTGATGACGTACATTTTGTTTGATCTAGTAGTGATTTTACATTTTGCCTGATGTAAAATAAATTTCGCGGAAAAAATATTTTATTATCACGCTCTTCATCTTGATATTACAAAAAATGCAGATATATATTCTGTTTATTATATTTTTTATTCATACTCGTATATTAAAGAATTTTATATCGAGAACATGTGCAAGTAAGATAAAATCGTGTTAAAATTTTAAAATCATACGCTTTGCTGTGAAATAATAAGAGTTTTTATTTTTTGATTATTTTATTATTCTAGACACAAACAATTCGCTTCAGAAATACATAATACATATCTTATGTGATATTATTTATTATAATCATATTAATAAAACGCTTTTAAATATAAAAGGAACATCAGGTATTGTATATTCATTACTAAGCTAATCAACGTATGCTATTTTCATTTAAAATACATTTAACTTGTTCATTTATATCTATATACTGTATACTTACGTTTCGTAGACTTATTTGTATATTTATATATTTACGATTAAATGATATGATCTCTTTTACTATTTTACAAGTTATTTACGACACATGATAAATCTGAATACAATTTCAAAATATAAGTCTGGACGACTCTTTGCAGGTCAGCCAGATTTGACTATTCTTCGGGAAAGAATATCAAATTAAGTTTCGAATACGATTATTCGAGATTTGATTATATATACAATATTCTTATTTTTTTTAATAAGGTTTATATTTATTTTGGCGTATATGCTTTCGTACCTATTTGATTTTTGAATTCGTTTTTATATACTAGTTTACCACTATATTTATTAAAATAATTTAAATTATCAATAAATAGGTAACAGTCTACTAGAAATATATAATTATATTTCTAATTTTATATGAAATCACCTGGAAGATTAGACAGTCTATTTCTAAAGTACTTTCGGAGATATGTTCATGTTATGTTTACTCGAAAATTAATGTCGCGATTTATATACACGTTTAAATATGTATATTAATACATATAAATATTTGTGTGGATTCGTATATTTGAATATTCACTGGAATAAATAATCTATGTATTTACAGTGAATATCAGTTTCCAATTAAATCTGTTAGTGAAAATCAATGGTGGTAAAATTACTGCGGTTGCAAAAATTTTAACAATTAATTAATTAACAACCAATATTAAAAAAACTTTTCAGTTGAACGAATAAACGTCTAAATGACCATATATTATTCTTCTCCTGAGATTTTGTTTATTCCTTCATCCAAAGTTGTTTTTCTTACTTTTTTCCTCTGGTAGAATAGAACCGTAAACACGAGTAACATAATTCAACAATTTTTGGAATTCTCAAATAAATACACATATATAACTTATTTGCTATATACAATATTATAATCTGTAATGTTCCAAACTAAATTCTAAAAGAAATATAATACAGAAATAGTTGTTATATTAAACCATTCTATATACATATTTGTGATTCCACTATTCGTATTTTGTCTTTCGGCGGATGATTCCATCATATTTTTTTATGATTTATTACTAAATATTTATACCCTGCATTACATATGGAAAAATAACCGCCTCTTGACAAAAAATTGGGATTGAAATAAGTCCATATCTATTATTGATTTTTTTGCAAAAATATGATCAAAATATATCAAGAAAAATATGCTAGAAAAATATTTTACAAAGCAAATACCGCTATGGACAAATTTCCAACAATTTCATCGGACTTATTCCCTGAAGAGCAATAATCACAAAATTGTACATAAAATAGATCTTATCAAAATCACATTTAGTAATTATGTTTAATATTTTTGGTAATAACTATGTACAAAATCGAAACTCTTCTTGTCTATTATGTGGGTCATATTTGATGGTCATTTGAAATAAATAGTTTCATGACTATACTTATCAATTTACAAATACAAGACTCATATACAAAGAGTTTCGAAATATTAGGAACTGTATTGACCTCGGAAGACTCTGTCGTACAATATTAAAAGTATTATTTTCTTCTGATTCATCATACTAAATTTTATTGTGCTCAAGATTTTGTTACTCAAAATTTTACAAAAAAGAAATACTAAAATTCTGTTAGTATAATAAATCATCAGAAATTTACTTTTAGCATAAAACATCGTCTAATAATATATTTAAATTTAAATACTAACTTAAAATGCCCAAATATAGAGAATTTAAAATCAGTGAATGATTGTAGCTTATGCAGTATCACTGATATTATATTTAATTGGAGTCAATTGAAAACGTCTCAGTAGAAATTAGATATGATATATAATTTCGTTTATAAAATAAAATATTTTCGTTAAATATCCTTAAAGTATAATTTTCTGTGATATCACATGGGCTATATGTACAAATCTACAAATAATAACTAAATTTGTTATAAATAGATACGATTAAAAACATTGACTACATTGCGACCTTCATGAAACAAAATAGCAAAGACGTTTTTATCTAAATTGATATTTACATATATACATACAAAGACTAATCTAAGAGACGCTCAAACGCGTATTCGTGCCGTCATTCTTGCTGATACGAATACGGATTCAAACCTTGCCCTGATGTTACAAGGGCTAAAGGACCACCAGGGTATGTCAGACCCGTGGAATAAGGAGATCCTGAGTTTGGACTTCCTGGCCCACCTTGTAAAGGTGGATTTATACGTTTTTCTTTCTGTCTTCGGTTACAAAACCAAACGCGGACGACTTCTTTTTCCATGCATAGACCATCGGCCAATGTACCGATTTCTTCTGATGTTGGCTTAGGATTAAGCACAAATGCCTTTTCTAGGGCGACACGCACACTTGTTTCTATCGAAGTGCGTTTTTTACGCCGCCTGCCGATTGCTTCGGGTGTCGTCAAAGGATTTGACATACTGGAGGGATTGTTCATGGTGTTGTCAGCATCTTCTAACCATTTTTGGAGCAAAGGTTTCAGTTTGCACATATTTTTAAATGAAAGATTCAAAGCCTCAAACCGTGATATTGTCGTTTGGGAAAAATCATTTCCATATAATTTACCCATTGCTAGACCAACATCACCTTGCGTAAACCCTGAATAATAGAAATACACAGTCAATAATCGTACTCATTTTGGAATAAATAAACAACTTAATGGTTTTATAAATACCTAGTTTTATCCTACGTTGTTTGAATGTTTTGGCAAATTGTTCTAATTCTTCTAAGTCTGTCGTTTCTTCTGGACTTGGTTCTAATGCTCTGGGCGCACCAGGATGTTTTCCCATCTGGAAAAGTAAATCATGAATAACTCTTCATTTCTTAAGGATTTGACAAAACAAGTCCTTGATAAATTAAATGAATTAAATTAATCTGTCAATATAAGAAATTTACCTGTGGTGTAAGTGTACCAGATCCAGGCGTTGATGGTGTCAGTAAACCTCCCAGATGGGCAGCAACATTGGGCGGCGTAATTTGTGTCTGGCCGGCATTTGGCGGCGAACTTATAGGCGGGGAGTCTGTTTGTCTCGAATGCATTTGCTGCGATTTTTGTAATTGTTGCAACTGCTGCGCGGCTTGAGCTACTGCTTGTTGAAGCTAAAAGAAAATATATTTTATTATAAAAGGAAAAAAGCAGACATGTATACGAAGAAAAAGATATTATAAATTTTCCTTCAATAAAATTGAACTCACGGATGTAAATATAGGAAATTGTGTACTGTATTCTCACTTACATGATTGTGCAGGAATAATTGAGCTTGAGCTTGAGGAGGCAACCCTTGTCCTCCAGGTGAATTTGGATGACCTCCATGCTGTTGCGGATGAAACAGTACGAAATTCTGCAATTGTTGCTGCAAATTTGCTTGATGAGCTTGTAATGCTTGCTGTAATATAGAAATAAATTAGATTGAACTTGCAAAAGAATTAATTCAACATTTGTTATTTTAAATAATAATTACTTGTAAAGCCGCTAATTCTTGAGCTCCAAGTCCGCTAAGATTTGGGGGGCATGCTCCGCCACTGGCTGCGGCCTGCAAGTACATTTGCAAGGGCGGCAAAGCTCCCAGAGGCGGGCCGGAATTATGTGATGGCCGAGGTGGTGACGGAGAATCTGTTCTTGATGAATCTGTCACCTAGGAATAATAGAAAATGATTAATTAAAAAATTTTAATTAGCATAACATGAAGAGGTTCCATCATTTCTCATGCATAATTGCTTTGAAACGCACAAAATCAGAATACAACTAGCATGTAACTTCAATAGTATGTTTCGTTTTGAGCTTCGGGCTCTTGCTGCTCACATATGAATGTATTTATTGCATTTCGCATTTGGGTTTTCCATGTGACTGGACTGTTTGATTAAACCGCCTTTCTGGAGAGACCACGGCAAAAGCGTAATCGTTTGTTTGATCCGCCATTTTGTTGCTGGAAAATCACTTTCCGAGAAAATGGGACAAAGGATGTTTATTTATTGTACATTTTTCATATCCCACGAGATCTATGATAATCACAAAAGTATAAAAAATAAAATACGTTGTGCAACTTTATCAATAAAATAATTATCTTAGTAAATTATCTGAATTATAACAAAATGTAAGTATAATTTGAAATGAAGTAACTATTATGTGGTAATAGAATAGTAGAAATATGAAACAACCGTATAAATTCATTGACCTTTAAAATTCAATAAATCTGGTAATAGTAATTTGTTGCAAACGTGATTATCTAGTGAATTATTTGCTTGTTAAATGGGTCGTGATACATTTTAGATTTTAATTGTTTTATCGTGCACTGATTCTATATCTAACAAATTAAATAGTTTTATATTGCGATATAATTTAATTCCAAATTGAATTATTAAGAAATGTTTCCTACACAATCACGGGATATTTGTGATCTTTCTGAATTGATAGTTTGTTTTTAAAATGGTCTTTTTATGCTGGTTATTATTTCCATTTTATCATAGTCATTTTTGTGGTTAACATCAGGCGCAAAATATTGATGTCGAGTAGCAAGTCTTTTGGGATTTCGGGTCTTTCAAAGTATAATTTGATTTTAGCCGCAGGTTTGGTACTAGTCAAATATCAGAAGCTAATATTACAACCCTTAACATGCCTTGAGGTACTCTCCCATAGAACCCCTTTGAATAAATATTTCGGACTGTTTGTGCTTTTGACGTATGAGGAGTTTAATTATAAATAATTCCCGGACGATAAAAATTGAAATTTGAGAAAAATATATTACAAGTACATATTTTGTGAAGACAGAAATAGAAATTGAATGGGCACACAAAGTAATAAACGGAGATATCGGAATTACCAAGATTTAAAAAAAAAAAATTTGGAATTTGTGCTGAGGCATGTTGAACTTGAAGCTGATTCTTTCTATTTATTATTACTATTAATTTTACTTACCAAGTTAAGAGCACCCCGTTCCTCGTTATCATCCTCGTCACAATCTCTGCTATCACTCCCACTGTCACAACCATCCCCATCTGAAAAAAATTAATTTAATTAATTTTATTATAAAAATAAAACACTATATTAAATATATCTCTTTTTTTAATTTCAATATATTTAAATTTAAATATATCACATGATAGCAACTTTTCTACATATAAAAGCACTAAAAATTTTCTAATATGAATGAATGAATTTAACTTTTCTTTGACTATTTATAATATAAAAGAGATTTTTTTCAATCACTGTAGTGGCTGCTATCAATTATTTATCAATAAAAAAAAGAAACCCCTTTGATGTAAGTGAACATACGCGGGTCGTGCGCCATTTTGGAGCGTGGCAACCCTTAAATAGCATTTGAGGAATACATTTGTGATGACAATAGATCCCATCCCCTTATGCTGGATTAATATGAAGCATGTATAAAAAAACTAATGCGTAAAAAACTATACGCGGCCAATGAAGACTGATTCAAAGATTCACCCTTTCTATACCCTTAGCAAGGGGTGGCGTAATATGCCGTATGGAAATGAGAGCCAATATATATTTGATAGACACGGGATAGTGGAATTTTATTGGGTGACCATATGTACACACACACACATATATATACTAGCTGGCCCGACAAGTGTTTTATCATGTAAAGAAATTATTATAAACAAAATAGGAGTTTGTGGTAGGAGGACGAAAATATAGATGATAGTCCAAGAACTAAGGCAGTTATTCCTACTATAAAGAGCTTAAACTATTATATTTATTCAATAATAAGTTTAAAATTTCTCATTATTTTTTTAAATTCTTCAGTTATTCAATAAATTTCAGTCAATCATTTACCCACCCTTATCGGTTGCAGTTAATACGATTATACCAGAAATTCATAAAATATACAACGCAGTACATAATCGAAATTGCGAGGCGACAGATTTCTAAAATGGATTTTTATGTTATCGATCATTCTTAAATGATGCGGGGTATAGATTTAATAATATTTCAATATTAGGGTAATATCCATGCAAAAGGGGTTAAATGAGAAAAGAATCATATAGGGGGCGTATGGGAATAGAAATAGTAGCAAATGAGTTATATCAGAAATTTAGATTTTACATTTTTCATAGAAGCCATTCGTATGTTGTAACAAACAATTTATAAAATGATATAAAAACATAATGACATTATTTCTAGGTAGACTTTTTATATTTTTTACAGAAGTGTGATCCCAAATAAAGCCTATTATCAAATGTGTCAAAAAATAAGGCAAGGTGTTAACATAAAAGCTTTCTCAAAACCTTTTGTCATTCTGATCTGATATCAGAAATACTATTTCTTTATAGAGAATGTAAGGTCGTGATAAAATCTTAGGATTGAAGATGTATTTAATTGAAATATTTTGTTGAATATATATTATTGATTTTGGATATTAAAAAAGTCATAGAAATATTTAAAAATATATATGATTACATAAAGAATATTTTAAATTTATGTATGCTTTTATAGAACATAGTAAACATAGTAAAATGATGATGAATGATAGACAAAAATGCATTTTAAAATCAAGTAAAAAAAACCTTTTTGTAACTATATATATTTAATATATATATATATATATATATATATATATATATGTGTGTGTGTGTGTGTAAAAATAATCTTATGAAAATCCCGCAATTACCGTAGCGAAATGGAATTGTCATTTCGAGCAGAACAGAAATATGTAAATGTCCTTTCTTTAATTGTTTTAGAACATCATGACTATATTTTATATAAGACTACATATTATAGCATTGTTGATAGAAAGTCCATTGTGTGTACGTAACTCTAATTAAAATGCGCTCAACAGAATATTAACACATAAATTATATGCAAATATTTTAGAATGTTGATTTAATTAATAAGATATATACTACAAAATCAAATATTTTATTAAATCATAATGTATAAATTCATTATCTATTAAAAAATAATTTTACATCAGCGACATCAAATTTTGCAAATGCTCATTAGAAGTTCACATAAGTCATTTATCTTTTTACCAATTACGACGGTTTTCTACTCGAGTTATTTCAATTTCAATGTTATTTCAGTTTGCGCACTTATGATAGCGAAGGAATTTTTGCTTTGAACAAAAACATAATCGTTAAAATCTCATCCCCCTGTAGACAGAACCTCCATTTTACAAAAACATCTGTCCGCCGCAACCCTTGTCCCACGCGCCCAGCACGCGACCCGTTGACGAGCGTCGCATTGAGAAAAGGAAGGATGGCGAATCAAAATCGGAATAACGAATTTTAAAATTGATAATGGATTATAAAATTTAATCAGATGGGACAAAAGTGGAATAGATAATTCGGTAGAATTTTTAGACCTGTCAAAGATTTTAGATTCTCCATAATCTTCAAATAATATATGATCGATACTAGATTTATTCTAATAGTAAAATAATTAAATAAAGATAGGGTACACTGTTGGGTTACTATCTAAATATGGCGTAAAATAAGAACTTCGAGTACAACGGCTTATAGCACAGAAGTTTTGGCTGCTGTTAAAAATGACAATGTAAAAGAAATCATAATCTCGATGTGTATATTTCATTTTGAAATTTGTTTGCATATAAAAAGTATTCAAAATGTGAACTTTTCATATTCTGAACTTTATTTAATTTTTTAAGCACAACAGCTTATAGCACAGAAGTTTTGGCTGCTGTTAAAAATGACAATGCAAAAAAAATCACAATCTTCATTTGTATGTTTCATTTTGAGATTTGTTTGCATATCAAAAGTATTCAAAATGCGAACATTTTATATTCTGAATAGCAGAAGTTTTGGCTGCTGTTAAAAATGACAATGTAAAAGAAATCATAATCTTGATCTGTATGTTTCATTTTGAAATTTGTTTGCATATAAAAAGTATTCAAAATGCGAACTTTTTATATTCCGAACTTTCTTTAAATTTTTAAGCGCAACAGCTTATAGCACAGAAGTCTTGGTTGCTGTTAAAAATGACAATGTAAAAAAACAATCATAATCTTATTTTGTATGTTTCATTTTGAAATTTATTTGCATATAAAAAGTATTCAAAATATGAACTTATCATATTCTGAACTTTCTTTAAATTTTTAAGCACAACAGCTTATAGCTCAGAAGTCTTGGCTGCTGTTAAAAATGACAATGTAAAAAACCAATCATAATCTTGTTTTGTATGTTTCATTTTGAGATTTGTTTGCATATAAAAAGTATTCAAAATGTGAACTTTTCATATTCTGAACTTTCTTTAAATTTTACTAAAATAAGTTTAAGGTTGCTTTCATAGATATACATTTTTATATGCCAGATCTTAAAAACATCCACCGGTTGATTTCTCTAAACAATTTTTATAAAAAAATCGTTAATTTACTGTTTAGCATTTTTAATACAAATTCATTTACGTATTTTTTTCATTTTTGGAATAATTCATAGAATAAAATAAATAAATACATAATGTATAGGATAGGATTCATAGGTTTATTAATTTTTATGCGTTAATTTCATCATTATAACTATCCTCAGATTGCTGCTAAATCTTAGATCATCACTTTTTTCATAGATATACATTTTCATATATAGCAACACAGGGTTTAAAAACATCTTGCACTGGTTAATTTCTTTACATCCACTTTTTTTAATGAAAGAAATGATTTGTCCAAAGCTTTTATCAATAAATTCAAATTATCATACAATTTGCGTTACATAGTGACTGAATGAAATAAACAAATAATATGAATCAAGATTATGGTGAATCTAAAATTTTGAAAAAGCTCAAAAGTTCTACATAATGATTTAGAAGACTTTTGAATCATCTATACAATCTTTTAAAATTTGTAATGTCTATACTTTTACTAGTATATAGTCAGTAAAGTGAACATCTATCTCGACGTATTATTGAATACAAAATTTGGTGAATTTGCAAATCGATATTTGATGAGTGTTTATTTACAAAGCTTCTAAAGAAGAAATCATTACATATTCTCGTAGAATAAATGAATCAAAAATTAAATAATTAATTTTTTTAGAAGTTTTTAGTACAGGAAATTGAAAACACACACACACACACACACATATATATATATATATATATATATATAATGTTACTAGATCGTACAAAGTACATTAAATCTCATAAATCTTTATCCACTATTAAATTAATTTTATTTCCTAATCTAAGCGTTTATTATTCAATTTCACAAAGCCCATAGAATTAATGTGTTCATCTGTTTTCATTTTATATTATTAAACGTGTTGATTCTTCAACCCTTTAACTACCAGACAAAAATAGATCCTTTACCTTTACGCAACCTCAAATTCAAAAGTGCACGCGACCAAAAATAGCTGCACGCGCCGGAAACCTTTTTAAAAGAAAGTGTGCAGGAAAAAAGGGTTCATTGCCAATCAATATACACGATTTGCTAACAGATTATCAGTTGCACGCGTTTATTTATTTTTTATAGGGCACGAGGATGTTCTAGAAGAAATATATGTATATTTTGTACCCATTTCGATTTATTAATATTTTTACCGAAAAATATTCGTATGCAAATCGAGGAAAGGAAGCTAACTGGTTCTGACCAAAAAGTTAACGCGGTGTGTAATGCATTCCTATCACGTACGGTCAGGAACGGTTATTCAGATTCGCAACAGAAATATGAAAATCTCACCCACAAATCCGAACAGTGAACATTCACTGTGTCATGTACAGGGTTTAATTCTAAAAATATTAGAATCAAATTTTGATATAGAAAGCTTTAAGCATCTTTGGCATTGATATCAAAAGCGCATCGTATCTTGACTAAGTAAGCAAAGCCATGTTAAGCTCCAGAAATAATTTTAGATCTATATTTTTTGACGAATTATCGTATTCATCAAGTTTCAGACATCCAAACTAATTATTAAATAAATAGTATAATAGTTTTTTTTAGCTAAATACTACAATTTTTCGCTCGTACATTTTATTATCAATTAACCACATATATGTTCATGCTTATATATAAAGCTATTAGTGCATCTCCTCAATCAGAAATATCATTCTACCAGTATCTTTAATACTAAACTATTTTAAAACAGGATGCAAAACATAAATCTAACATAAAATATTATATAAAAACCTCAGACACATAATTTTACTCATTTCTGCAAAATTTATGACTATAATTTAGTAAGTTTTATATTTATATAATTATGAGTAGTAACATAATAAACATTTACATATGATTGTTGAGTCGTCTTTAATTGAAACACATAAAATCTCTGGAAATTAATGTACGTTTATTTTCGAAGGAAATGCATTTTATGCAGTAACGTGGTTATTATGATATTTTAAATAAATCGTTCTTGTAGAAGTGGAAATAGTAGTATAATATTGTGGAGATGAGTTTATTAGTAGCGTTTTAAATTTTATATGACTGCGATACTAGAAGGTAAAATATAATAAATAGTTGATTATTATCAATTTGTAGTAATTATGTCAACTAAATAAAGAATAATTTGAATACATAAAATACATATTAAAACTTTCAATAACGCAGGCACATAAATTTGAGCATAAACGTGCCTTATGAAAAATATCTATAAATGATATAGAAATTCATAATTCAATTTATAAATCAAAATTATTTAAAACCAACTAACCTTTAAAATGTGTGCGATCGAGTATTTCATGACACAAATTTTAACATAATACAAAATTTTATTGAACATTATGAATTTAAATTAATGTGTATATTTAAATTTGAATTTTATCATAAGCTAATATTTTTGTTATAATTAATATTGTTTTCAAAATTAAAATATCATTATTCAAACTTTATGGAAGACAAATTTTTTACTCAAGGATATTCGTAGTCTGAAAAGTAATTTGACGAAATACAAAGTCAGCATAAAAATTTTTCCCTCAATTTATAAAAAGCAAAAAATATTTAGAACTTTTAAATTATCTAACGTCTCTTTTAGTGTTACAAAAAATATAGCATTAATTCTTGTTTTCCGAAACCGATTAAATGGAATTGAAATATTCCCGAAATAATTATGGAATAGCTGCAGACGTATATTTTATTGAAAATAATCAAAGATGCATTTGTAGACCGAAAATCGTTTTAATTCCTTCAGATGCTGACTGATATAATTGCCGTCTGTGTAATTAAGTTTTATGTTCGATTCGATTTGAGACTCATTAACTTAATAAATAAACTACTGGGCTTGGTTTACGATAGTGTCCATGCAATGGTTAAAACGAGATAAAATAATAATATACTAGAAACACGTTCGACAACTTTGGGCATTAGAGATTGATGTATTAGTGAAAAGACAATTGATTGTAGACAATAAACAAAGATATTATAATCAACACTTCATTTTATTTTTTGCACAAAATAAATATGCTTCGATATCACATTAAATAACCAAATCACTGCGTTCTGTACGCGATACTAGCAATATACCAAAAATCGCCCGCAGGAAGGAAAAAATACATTGAAAGTATTGGTAGTCTATCAATCATTCCTAGGTACAGCGCAAGACTTTGTAACGGATTTTGGATTTTAGTCACGTTTAAGTTTGGGGGTTAAGTTCTTTTAGCAGCCGAGAAGGGGCTAAAATCCACCCTCGACGATCGCGAACTGACCACTGGATTCTTGAATAACTTACTGGATTTTGAACACCCCATATGTGAATACAATTGTATGCAGAATGACTTAGATTCTTCACACAGACTGGGTAGGTGAATATGTTAAGCGAGGATGTTGTATCATGGAATGCCAAACATTTTAAAACTTGGAAATTTGAAAAGTGCTTCTGATAGAGAAAACATAAAATCTTCCACAGCACATCTCACCGCGGTGAATGAAATTTGATTAACTGCTTACGCAATTTATTTTCTATAAACATAAATTATATATTTTTTAGGCATTTGATTTATAACCATTCTTAGCATATTTATGCATATTCAAAAATTCTAAATTTTTTCATAGCTTGATAAGCCAATAAGCATATCACAATTATAATATTTACTCTTTGTTCGTTTACCGCATTTAAAAAAATATTTCATTGCCTCTCAGAATATGTAATTAGGACGTAAATTTACGGACAAATTTTACGACCACATAATCATCAACAAGATTTTATAACTTTTAGTGAATCATGTGCCGCATCGAAAAGGTTTTGATGCGCACTGATAATTATAATGCAGATAGAAAACGACACACTAATTCAGCTAAAATAATAAAGGAATGGTATGATAACTCAGTTTTGCGGAGGTTTTCCTTAATTAGAAGAGAAAATATCACTAAATATCAGTTAATATTATGATACAAGTGAATTATATATTATGTTATGAGTTTTGTTTAAAATAATATAGAAAAAATCTTACCATTTGAAGGTGGCGGTGATGGCGTTTTGGCAATCCTCGTTTGCGAGAGGTCTGCAATAAAAATACAATGAATTAGAAATTTTCTTAAATTTGGATTAATTGAATTATTGGTTATATATAATGAGATAATCATAATCAAAATTTTCTAGATGTACTTTAGAAAAATTGATTCTTCAGTCCTTTACTCTTTTGATATTTTTTCTAAGTACTTAAGTTTAGTATTCGTTTTATATGGTCAGACGCTATAATGTAGTCTCGTTTGAATCATTCGGGTTAGAGTTTGGGGTTTGGGGTTGGTTTCTCCATCCCTCAATACATATAAAGCGACCAGTCCGATAACTGAGCTACTCTCATATTCATACGCAGAGCCACCTGAACCGAGGACGACGGTATACCTCAAGCACGTCACATTTCATAGCTTCTGAAAGATGCTGACCAACGAATAAACAAAAATGTTACTTCAAATTTAAGAAGGCAGAATTACTTACAAAACTTTTGCAGTTTGAGTTTCGAGCAAAATTAAAAAACCGACTAGAAATATACTAGAAACACGTTTGACAACTTTGGATATTAGAGATTGATATATTAGTGCAAAGTTCAATTGATAATCTAATTCATGAAAATATTATAATCAGCTTCCAATTTATTTTTTACTGTGTTTTACGGTGTTTAATTTGGACATTGGAAATCGAAAACGAGTGTTCTGATAATAAAATTGTACGTAAAATTACAATTTAAACAATTTCTATAAATTAAATATGATACAGTGATGATAACACATGAGTTTAATACCTGAAGTATTTTATTTAACAATATATAAGTTATACGTTAAATAGAGCGTACTCAGACAAAACTTAATTCGAAAAAAAACGAAATGGTTTTCCTCAAAAAAATCCATATGTATTAGATGTAGCTTGGCATGGCGCGCTGATATTTTTTTTTATTAGATTTTCTTAAATACTCATGATTTTTAATTTAATGCAGCAATGCAAAAGGAGCTTTTTACTTAGAAAAAGGTTTACATCTATATTTTCAAGTAGCAATTAGATTTAATTTGAATTTTGTTCAGATTTGTTGCGTGCGATGTACTTGACAGTGATAGTGATATCTTTTTACGGGGAAATCGACAAAAATAATCTAGAATACTTAAAAAAAAATATGCCTGAATTATTTTTGCTGCCTGAATCTGGTAGTAGCGATGTCCATTTTCACTTGAAAATATAAATGAACCTGCGGAGTGAAATGGAAGTGAGAAATCTATCACACTATTCTTCCCTGAATCGAGTTGGAGTTTCACTCAGCGCACAGACCTGCCCCAGGTCTGCTATTATTATTACATATAATATTGAAAACAGATTGAATTTCATGATTAATACTTGAGAAACCGAATGTTTCATAGTTTGAGAACAAGAGTATCGGAGTGTCCGATAAAATGTATAAAAGTCTCTATTTTACATGCAGAACGCTAGCACATAAGTGCAAGGACATGCATATAATATTCCCTCTTTCGTATTCCTCACTCAACACAAGGGTTGGATGTCGAAACGTATGCAAAGCCAACCACATTATTTAATATTGATAATACTGTATTTTCCTCCAGAAAATTTAAGAAATAAGACACGTAGAACAGTGTAGATTGAGAATAATTTAATAACTGATTTCAGTAATCTCCGAAATAAAATTAGCAAAAAGTACAACAAAACCCAATTACTTTGTGAATGATTCAGATATTTTAGGCAATTTTATATTTCAAAATGTTAATTATCGTTTTAAGTGCTTCCAAGAGTCGACATAATATTTCATTAAATCTCGTCTCCGTATATATTTGCAAACGATTGCAGATGTCACCAATCCTCTTGGTCCCTGCCCTTGTCTGAGTGTTATTCCTACCGGACCCACATATCTTGTAAGGATGTAAGGAGTCTTGTCCTTGTCCAGCTGGCCGTATGCGCCGGGCAAAGAGTGTATTCAAAAAACATTAAGACCGTACCACGCGCCAATTTATAACCGATGGCGTTCTACATCTTCGAAGCAGAAGTCATATCATCCCCGAGCCGTTATCTTATCCCCTTGGGATTACCAAGTCCACATGCAAACCCCAAGTTTTATGTAATACTTCCCCATACAATAGTGAAAATATGTAACGAAGAACGGAAGGTGGGAAATTTATTGAAACATGCGTGAATTGTTATATTTTGATAAATCGGAATCGGTTTTGATATAAAAGTCTACAGGGAAAATTATTAGTTGATTTGGTACTTCAAAGTTTTTGAAGGTCTATGATTTTATATTTTCAATTTTCCTATCAGATTTTTATTATTTTGAATTTTTTTAATAATTTTTAAATTATATTAAACTTGGTTAAATTTAATACTACGATTTATATTCTTTTAGAATTTATACTATTTGGGTTAGTGATATTTTATTTGCGATGCGACTGGTGATACTATTATTAATTATTTTTTATTGATATATTATTTTCAAATTTCAGTCAGACAGGAGTGCCTGTTATAATACATTATGAAACAATTTTCATATTTTATATATACATATCATTAAATTAATAAAATTAATTAAATAAAATTAATTTTATATTAGATAATTTATAATAATTTGTTATTATAATGATTGTGTGATATTTATATTTATTTATTAAATTGAATTTGTTAAATAATTATTTTTAAATTAAAAGACTAATTCTCGGATCTTTTCTTGACGTTTCAAGTTATAATTCTAAATGTATCAGTTGGGAATCGTGCTAATTAGATTCTGGCAAATATGTCATTTCTTCATGATTAATTGTTGAATCTTTATTTGCCGATTCTGATGAAACCTTGTATGATGAGGGAGTTCATGTTCTTAACGAACATTCTAAAATATTATAGGTTCACAAAAAGTGCTTCAATTAAAAAAATCATTCAATTTGGATAAATGGGCAAGTTTGCAAAGTTTTATTGTCACAATTTTAAAAGTTGCTAAATTCCTATTGATTAGGTAGATGACTTACACATATCGGAAAGCTTTTGCTTAAAAATAAATACGTATAATTTTGAAAATCACATTTATAGTACTGACCAAGAATATTATAATCATGATTTCTCCAATAAAATTTGCTGCCCAAAAAATATATTAAAAAATGTTATCTTTTATCCCTATGTCTGTTATCCATTTTCAGCGGATTGATAGTATTGCATCACACATGATTCAAATGTACTGAAAACATATCAACTTGTCCAAGATCAGTAAAGTAAAACCCCTACATTATCTAACCCTCTAGTATTGTGGGCAAAGTCCATCGGTTGAATGTAGATATATGTCGAATAACCAGCTTGTTTTATGCAACCATCTGTTTGCGTTGTCCGAATATATTCCGGTGAGATCTCTAGTACTGTATACTATCGCATCCGAAACGAGAGAGGTACTCAAAGTGTAAAAGAAATTTTTTTTTTAATAGACAACTCGACCTTTTATCTAAAAGGACTTCAAGCTACAAACGAGCTTTTCTTAAATTGCTATTATTTTTTATATTACTTAATTTAAATTTCTACATTATTTTTTATCCCTATTGACCAAGTAGGTTAAAATGAAAAATAGTTTTACGTTTTATGTATTATTTAAAACTGATGTTTTATTGCTACTCAGTAGTAGCAATGCATGAAAAAATAATGAAGCTATAACATTTTTATTAACAATTCAAATTGGCGTAACAATTGCACATCATACATCATACGTAAATAAGAAAGCTCATGTCCATGATGATTTCTTAGACTTTATGGGCAACAGAACCGATACAAAATCAAATTTGATAAAAATAAATTAGGTGCTCGATTATGATTTGTTTCTGAAAGTAAATCGATTTATGATATGAATTATATTTGATATTTAAATCATATTGAAAGTTAATTTAAAAGCAACTCAAAAAAGTTTAAATATTACTGCTGGAGTAGATAGAAAACTTTAAGAAAAACTTATCTAAATTTCTAACTATTTTCATTTAAACATTAAATTTATTTTTACATGAGAATATAACAATTTTTCTTGGTTAATCATATAGGAAATTTAGCACCAAAACGCTATATTTTCACTGAAATTTTTAATGATTTTTAAATTTTCATTAAGTAGATCAATCAGGGTTTAATCCTGTATATTTTAACAAATTTAAAAAATATGATTGAGTTTTAGAATTTCACTTAAGATTCCAAGTGGAATCTCTATATGCCTCTCTATATACCTTAAAAAATCGTCCAATTCCCCCCTGTTTCATATTTTGATGGATTCTCATTTATCATGCAAATATGATTTGAATATTCTATTTTTTTGCTTCTATATGTGAGTTTTTTCCTAGTTTCTTCTTCAGTTCGCCTGCTTAGCCATGCACCTGTGCTCATTACGACCAATATCGTATTCATAATGTTTTCCTTCTGACATTTGCGTTATTCGATATGGAATAAGTAATTGTCATTTGTAAATGTCAGATATAATTATTATTAAACCGGCACACAACAAACCCTCTGCGGTCGTGATTCGATGAAAATTGATTATGAATATTGAATTTATTCAGCCTTTTATTAATTTTAAATGGAATCCGTTGTAATTAGATCAGAAAACTAATAGAAAATACCGATGCTATCAAGTAGGTATTGTAATAGAATAAAAAATGACGTAGTTTTAATTAATCTCTATTTAAAATAAATATCTCTATTTATTGGACGATAGCGTCTTTATTCTTACATCGCATTTCAATACAATTTCTGCGATTTCTACGCCGCAACGTTGGCAATTCAATGGTAATAAAAAACAAGAAGAAATATCATTAATTGAAAATAATGCAATAAAAATGTCTCGAGATACAAATTAATTGCTTCTGGAATTAATCCAATTAAAGGAAAAATGTCGGCTCGTATTGTCGGAGTTGTAGGCGGGAAAACAAAAAGGCGAAAGCGAAATTGTGTTCGGGAAACTATTTTGAAACGGATATAATGCTTTAAATAGGGATTGAAGTGCATTGAACACGAAATAATAAGTATACTAATAGAAAAAAAAATTATACA